GTAATTGATGTTGATGTTTGTTGTTCCAGTGATGACTTCACAAAGACGACGGCTTCCGCATGGCGTTCCTTTTCTCTGTTGCTGCAGTGGGTCTTGAGCCAAAAGGGCGATTGTCACAACCCTTTGGCTTCGAGTCTTAGAGTGAATTATGTGATAATGTACATTGGTCCGTAGCATACACTCTATTCGCATGTATGTATGCATGCATGCATGCATGTATGTATGTATGTATTGTATGTATGTCTGTCTGTCTGTCTGCCTGCCTGCCTGTCTGTCTGTATATTTTAACCCCCCTTTTGTGCAAGCTATGTGTGTGTGTATGCATGTCTCTACGTATGCAGGTAGGTATGTAGGTATGTAGGTATGTAAGTGTGTAGGAATGTAGGTGTGTAATGTACTGGTATGTAATGTACTGTAATGTAGTGGTGTGTAACGTAACGTAATGTAACGTGATATGATGTAATGTAATGAAATGTAATGTAATGTGCTGTAGTGGTATGTACTGTAATGTGATGTGATGTAATGTAATGTAATATAATATAATGGTATGTAATGTACTGTAATGTCCTGTAATGTAATGCAATGTAATGTATTGTAATGGTATGTTATGTGATGCAATGGCATGTTCTGTACTGTATTGTAAAGTGATGTCATGTAATGATGTGTAATGTAGTGCCATGTAATGTAATGCAATGTAATGAAATGGGATGTTATGGTATGTTCTGTTATCTTATTTGGAGGGTCGGAGAGCAGAAGCACTTCGTGAGGGTCTGCATTCCATCCCTTCGTTGAAAGCAGCCTTTATCACTAATCGCCAGAAACTTTGCATTGACTCTGCGAACACACAGTTTCTCCAGCCATTTGAACATGGGATGGGTGATACAATGTGGGGCCCTGTTTACGATAGCTAAGTTGGTGCAAAATAACTCCAATAACTATGGTGTATGATACTTATAATTAACTTACAACTTTATAGTATTCATGGGGTTTATAAACCAACTGAAAAACCAACTCATAACTGGGGGGTGGGGCCCAATCTTTAAGTTTTGTATCACTGTCATCCCAGCTTCCCAATGGCGTATCGATGTCCAAGGTCAAACCACGTCCCCAGCCCAGTGATTTGAAGGTGGTTTATAACCACCATTAAGTATACATATATATATATATGTTATAGTGGTAGATGATATAAGTGATATATCTATATACTTTAAACCTTTAAACCTTTAAACCCAAGTGAAATTGGAGTTATGTTCACCAACTTAGCGATGAATCGCTCACTGGAACACCATCTTTGAGGATTTCAGTTGATGTTCATTCTCCCAACTGACCATCTCAGAATTCCCAACAGTATCCCCATAATATGTCCCATGGTATCACATCAATTCCAATATTATCCCAAGAATTCCCATGTTGTGATATACGATATTTTTTCATAAATGTTCATGAATTGTCATTAATTTTCATTAATTGTCCATATTGTTTTGTTCCATCCAATTCTATCCAACATTCACTGACTGAAGGCAAAAAAAGAAGGTTCGTGTCGTCTCCAACAGCCTGGGATCGTCTGCCTCAATTGACAAACGCAAACCTCTTTTGCTTCGATATCTGCTGAGGGACGTGTCAAACAAACTAAACGCAACCAGCAGAACTGACAAGGACATACAAATCGCCACTAGGAGCACCAAAGCTTTGAAGACTCGATGGCAAGATCACCCCCTCCAGGCTTTGGTTAAAGCCAGCACCAAAACTCAAGCTTTGAAGACTCAATGGCAAGATCACCCCCTCCAGGCTTTGGTTAAAGCCAGCACCAAAACTCAAGTTTTGAAGAGTCGGTGGCAAGGTCACCTGCTCCAGGCTTTGGTTGAAACACTCGCCAAAACTCAATCTTTGAAGAGTCGGTGGCAAGGTCACCCGCTCCAGGCTTTGGTTGAAGCACTTGCCAAAACTCAAGCTGTGAAGACTCGATGGCAAGGTCACCTGCTCCAGGCTTTGGTCGAAATCCCTGCCAAAACTCAAGCTGTGAAGACTCGATGGCAAGGTCACCTGCTCCAGGCTTTCGTTGAACAAATGGCCAAAACTCAAGCTTTGAAGGCTCGATGGCAAGGTCACCTGCTCCAGGCTTTGACTGAAATAAAAGCCAAAACTCAAGCTTTGAAGAGTCGGTGGCAAGGTCACCCGCTCCAGGCTTTGGTTGAAACACTCGCCAAAACTCAAGCTTTGAAGAGTCGGTGGCAAGGTCACCCGCTCCAGGTTTTGGTTGAACCAATCTCCAAAACTCAAGCTTTGAAGACTCGATGGCAAGGTAAGGCTTTCGTTGAACAGCCTGCCAACACTCAAGCTTTGAAGACTCGATGGCAAGGTCACCCGTTCCAGGCTTTGGGGGAACCTAGAACCAAAACTCAAGCTTTGAAGGCTCGATGGCAAGGTCACCTGCTCCAGGCTTTGGTTGAAATAAAAGCCAAAACTCAAGCTTTGAAGAGTCGGTGGCAAGGTCACCCGCTCCAGGCTTTGGTTGAAGCACTTGCCAAAACTCAAGCTTTGAAGACTCGATGGCAAGGTCACCCGCTCCAGGCTTTGGTTGAAAGTCTCGCCAAAACTCAAGCTTTGAAGAGTCGGTGGCAAGGTCACCTGCTCCAGGCTTTGCTTGAAATAAAAGCCAAAACTCAAGCTTTGAAGAGTCGGTGGCAAGGTCACCCGCTCCAGGCTTTGGTTGAACTCAGCGCCAAAACTCAAGCTTTGAAGACTCGATGGCAAGGTCACTCGCTCCAGGCTTTGGTTGAAACACTCGCCAAAACTCAAGCTTTGAAGAGTCGATGGCAAGGTCACCCGCTCCAGGCTTCGGTTGAAAGTCTCGCCAAAACTCAAGCTGTGAAGACTCGATGGCAAGGTCACCTGCTCCAGGCTTTCGTTGAACAAATTGCCAAAACTCAAGCTTTGAAGGCTCGATGGCAAGGTCACCTGCTCCAGGCTTTGCTTGAAATAAAAGCCAAAACTCAAGCTTTGAAGAGTCGGTGGCAAGGTCACCCGCTCCAGGCTTTGGTTGAAATGAAAGCCAAAACTCAAGCTTTGAAGAGTCGATGGCAAGGTCACTCGCTCCAGGCTTTGGTCGAAATTTCTGCCAAAACTCAAGCTTTTAAGACACGATGGCAAGGTCACCTGCTCCAGGCTTTGGTTGAAATCCTCTCCAAAAGTCAGCTTTGCAAGGCTGCAGGGGAGATGTTGTAAGTACTCTCCGTGCGTTAGTCCTTCAAGATGTGTAACGCCTTCAAGCGCAAACTCTCTCTCACAAGTTGGGAGTTCACAGGCATAACGCCATGCTGTATACACATTAGTTGGTATGTAAGTGCAGGACAGCAATGCGGTTTTTGCAACAATCCCTTGGTCTTCCAAGTTTTCATCCAGTGTCAGTTTTCTATTCACGCTATGCACGACGAGCTTTGCGCCGGCCTTGCATGAAAGATTCTTTGACACCAACCTGCGCAGGTCATACCCAAGCATGGAGCGACTGACGGTCAGTGTCACTGCTTCCCCAGTCAAGCACAGCACCTGAAGCTCGATCTTGTCAATTTCATCTACTGCACCTTTGTCAGCAGATGATGGATTTAAGTAGACATGTTGTGCACCGGACATTGGTCGAAATTTACACACGCACCACGAAAAGAGTGTAGCCGAAAGGTCTTCAACTCTGCTTGATTTTCCACTTTGTCTCATGATTTTCCATATTAAATCATCTGATAAAAATCCATATCCCCATAATACGAGTATAATTACCCTCTGGTAAACTAACATATAACTATGGATAATCACCATTTGTTTATGGATAAATCAACTATAAATGGGTTATTTTCAATAGCTATGTTAAATTACCAGGGGGTATATGGCTTGAGGACCTACTTTCTGCTAATCCAACATGTTTCATGGTTCATGGTAAAATGATGTAAAATGGACGCCATTCGACATTCAAAACTCAAGAGTTGGAAGTTATACAAAGCCTTCATCTTTGGTGGTTTCGGCCAGTCGCGGCAGGTATGTCCCAAAAGAGTCTGAAAAATAAACCAACGAGAAAACTTCTATAGGATAGACAATCAGAAAGGGCTAAGCCAGCACAGGTATACGGTATGTCTAAAACCGAAGATCCTGAAATTAAAATATAGTACCAGCCTTATGTGGGTATGTCCCAACTATCATAGTGATACCTTGGACGCAGGATGGCACAAAACTACTAGAATGAACCATTAAAAGGCATGTCGAAATTGACTTGTGGGATAAAACCATATACCGTATACCCAAGTTGAGGACATCCTTCGAAACTATCCTGACTGGATACACACTCCACATAAAGACAAGTCTCCAACAAATTTCAGCAATAAGGATCCATTAATCAACAAACACAAGGGATATATGACCAATGAGTTTGAGGTGCGGTAAAACTGACTTTAAAAGACTTGCTCACTGGAATCTTGTCCTGTACTCATATTATGACCTTAACACGGTGGATGATATTTTTAAAAAAGGAGCATGAGAGTTGCCCCCTTGACGCAGAAGTGCCATCTCACTCAAGCAGCTTTGAAAGTCGCCTATGAGTCACCATGGCAATCAATGTCAGTAATACAGGTAGAAACACCATGGCAACTCTTGATCATTTCACTAGTAGGCATTTACATCAAATCATATCACGTGGGAATTGTCGTTTTTTTTTTATGCCTAACAGTCAAACTAGTTGGTATCATTTTAAAACTGCTTCCTCCGCTCCGTCAGCATCAAGAGCCATCTGTTTGCTGCCGGGACTACTCATTGTGCCTGGTTTCATGCAGTCCCAGGATTCATCAAGCCCTAAGTTAGCAAATGAGAGGGACGCACCCAAAAAGTGTGAATTACTTGAATTACCATTTCATGTCACTTTCCATCTGAAATCCCTAAGATTCATTTAAAAAAAAAATCAGAATCCCACGGTTTCTTTTCCCATCACTCTCCACATGAAAATTTCCCGGGCCGTTTCGTCCTCGGCATCTTGGGTGCTGCAACTCCCTTGGCGAAGCCAGTGTGGGATCAGCGCCTCAGCACAGGGCGATGTTTCGGTGGCCAATGCTGGTTGATCTGGCTACCCTCTGGTAAACATACAAAAAGCTATTGAAAATGGCCATTTATAGTGGATTTTCCCATTAAACATGGTGATTTTCCATAGTTATGTTAAATTACCAGAGGGTACATTCTTTGGGTGATGGCTACGTCGCATTCTTTGTTTTGTTATATTATATATATATATATGTTGTATCCCAAAAATCACCCCATGCTAAAGTCATTGGCTTGAGTCATTGGTAAATCCGGATTTTTCATAGTTCTGACTGAATTGATGTTATTTCACCAACCTGAAAACAGCGAAAACTTGCGGTTATTTGGGGATGATTCCCCGAAACTAACCATGAGATCACAGTGCGGTCATTATAATTCATCCTAATTGATATATATATATATTATGGTTCATGGAAAAAAACTCACTGGGATAGGAACATGTTTGATTTTTTTTGTATTCTATCTACATCAGGATGATTGTAACTACTAGGTTCCCGACCCATAGACGGCCGTATGGTTTTAGGAGTTTTTCATCAACAAAAATGTCGTTTTCGCTAGAGCGAAACGTCATTTTTTCTCATGTTGACGTGAAAAATAGGGTTTTGAAAATCTCCAAAACTACTTCGTTTTTTGACATAAGTTCGTGTTTTTTTGGGATGCAGCACTTTTTTCCTTCTTCTCAGAAGCGCTTCATTGCTTTGACGGCCTTGCAAAGTTCTTCGAGAAATCGGTGAGGTGTCAATGGTCCCAAAGATTTTCGCCAACAGTAACCCAAGACAAACTTTTCCAATTCAGGGTGTTCTTTTGTGCAAGAGAACATAACAATACCGTAGCATGACGTGTGTGTGTGTGCAAGTTGACATGAACGTCATTGCCCCACCCAACCCCACCCCAAGATAACCATAGCGTAGCATGACGTGTGTGAGCAAGTGCAAGAGAAAATAACCATAACGTAGCATGACGTGTGTGTGTGTGCAAGTGCAAGAGAACATAACAATAACGTAGCATGACGTGTGTGTGTGCAAGTTGACATGAACGTCATTGCCCCACCCCACCCCACCCCAAGATAACCATAGCGTAGCATGACGTGTGTGAGCAAGTGCAAGAGAAAAAACCATAACGTAGCATGACGTGTGTGTGCAAGTTGACATGAACGTCATTGCCCCACCCCACCCCACCCAACCCCACCCCAAGATAACCATAACGTAGCATGACGTGTGTGTGCAAGTGCAAGAGAACATAACAATAACGTAGCATAACGTGTGTGTGCAAGTTGACATGAAAGACCATAAAAAAACGAACAATTGCCAAAAAATGCTTAAAACACCACGGCCGTCTATGGGTCGGGCTCCAACTACTAAGACTTACTAGGATTTGGATATATGTTGTGAAAAGTCCAGCAGATGAGGAAATTTGACAATGCAATTGCTATAATGATATGATGCAAATACGATGACCAAGATGATAAATTTGAAAATGAGGGGGAAATACTGTATGTTTGTCTATGTTGTGTATAACAAAATATTCCAGCGCCAACGATTCGTAGAGATTCAGAAAACTGGGCGTGATCAATTCTGGTTTTTGGTTGAGCCTACCCCTCTAAAAAATATGAGTCAGTTGGGATGATGACATTCCCAATATATGGAAAAAAAATGATCCAAACCACCAGCCAGATATCATTCATGCAAGTCACTTCTAATCCCCACTGACCGTGGTGGCAATGCAGAACGCCTCGCGTCAAATGCGGCAGATCGTAGACGAAGATTTTCAGCTTGCTGCCGTAGCAGTCGTGCCGCGGCGTTAAGCCCAGCAGGAAGGGGTAGATCCTGCGGCCACAGCACGCGGTGCCCCAGGTGATGGTTAGCTAAGTTGGTGGAAATAGCTAGCTTAAGTAGGGTTTATGGTGATTGCATGTGGTTGCAACTATACTTAGATGTGTTTATAAATCAAAGTTATAACTAGGGGGCAAAAATTTTCCAACTGGTATGTCGACAAATACCCAGGTACTAACCATCAAGTGGTTTGGAATCTCCGATTGTAGCTGGTGGGCTCCCCTTTTGTTCACAGGAGACAAATATGAATACAACATGATACAACCGCAGCTCCTAGAAGCTCCCTTTGAATCACCAAATGGAACTGAACCCCCAAGGCCCCAAGACTCAAGACCAACTTATTTCGCAAACTTGTGTGGGTTATATCCTCATGATATTCCCATAACATCTTCCTTTAAAAGGATGCCGACTTTCTGGCTCACCAACTCGACCTCAACCATTGCCGATTTTTGAAGAGCCATAAACTAACTGCTTACTATCCCGACTATGCCCATAAAATACTCCCTGATTCTTGTTGATAGCATTTTGTTCGGAAGCGTCACAAGCCTGGTTGCGAACTGGTTCTACTGGTTGAACATGCCATTCCAACTAATGGATTGTGTTTAACCATATAACCAATAAATATGACCAAGGGATTATAACCATTAATATAACCTTCTAATGCTCAGTAGACTCCCTTGCTAATTCACCTTTTTCACTATTTCATGAACCAATTGATTGGGATTCTTCGTAGATATACTGGGATATAACCATGAACATCCATGAACTATAATTCACCAGTAGATAATATTCATGGTTATATCCCATTGGTTATCCATTGGTTATTGGTTATATCCCATGGTATATTGGATAAAAACCAATAGTCAATTAATTAGTTCACGTTAATATTGACAACCAATCATGATCATTTCCTTACTAAATGGTATATCCATAGTATATCCATAGTATATCATGAACTATATACTGGAAATCATCCTTAGTATATCCCATTACAAAATATCCATTTCCTATATAATCATATTGTTAATATTGCTAAGTGAAAAAATACCTCAATCCATTAATATTGATATATCCATTGTTAATCTGATATATCCCAACCTCCCATCATAATTCCATTCTTGTTAATCATGAACTATAATTCACCACTAGAATCCCTATCCTGGATAACCAGCACGGCGCCTGAGATCCGTAAGGTCGGCCGCCCAGTCTTTCGCCACAGCGTTGTGAGGTTCCAGGCGCGGCAGCAGTTGCTGCGTGAGGTACTGGAACCTGGTGCGGACCATGATTTGAGCACACAAAATAGGTCTAGATACCACCAAAAAAACATTAAAAATGAGGAATTTGATGGATTTGATTTGACCAAAAATAGAATCATGAAATTTGAATGAACAAATTGGTATAAATAGCAACATGTTTAGCCATTGCAAGTGTATAAATAGCACCATTTTTAGCCATGAAAAGTGGGGAACATGTTTTAATGGATTTGACCATTCAAAATAAGACCTTCGCAGGCAATCTGACGATTAAACTTATGGATTTCACATGGTTTAACCATTAAAATTGGGGAGCTTATTGGAGAATAATGGGATATGAGTGGGCTTTAACAAAATTGAAGGATGGGATATGAAAAATAAAGTAAATAGGTATTAAAATAGCTATTTGACAAGTTTTGCCCATTAAAAATAGGCACTTAACCATTAAACATGGGGATTTGCTGGAATGATACTGCGATATGAACAGGATACCCTAGGGTAATCAAACACAGTTTGCTATGGTATAGATTGCCTATTTTGTTCCATGACTTCCCCGTTGAAAGGAGACGATGTTTCAAACATTGGGACTTGTGTTGAGATTTAAAAAAAGCAGGTTGGTTTTGCCATGAATGATGGGACAAGATAAATACGTATCTAACAAGGTGGTGCCCCCCGAGTTATAAGTTGGTTGGTTTATAATCCCATGAATACTATAGCTATAAGTACCATAAACCATAGTGAAATTGGAGTTACAAAGCAACTTAGCTATCTTGGGGGCACCACCTTGAATCTACTTGTGACAATGATTGGACCAATGGATTGGCGGGAAAATATACAGAAAACCATCGCCAAGCAAAACGATTGGATGGGCGCATTGCATCTGTTTCCCTTCATGAAGGTCTTGGATGGAAAAATGCGGATCAACACATGGGGATATATGATATAAATTGAAAAATCTGGTTGATATTTTGTTGAACCAAATATTGAGATTATATAAATATTATGAAAAACTACTACAGTATATATTTCTATGTGCATATATATATATAATTATAGCTGTCTACTTGGAATTCTTGGGATTTCAAACAATACTGGGAGAATAAGCCTAGAAAAAAATACCCCAATCCTGGACCCAATGCAAAATCCGGATTCGAATATATAAATTGCGTGGAACATGCTGGAACAATTACCCTCTGGTAAACTAACATAGCTATGAAAAATGACCATAGAAATAGTTGATTTACCCATTTAAAATGGTGATTTTCCATAGTAATGTTAAATTACCAGAGGGTACCTACCATATTGCCAATAGAGTATGAATGAATGGTTATTGCAACATCCGCCTCAAGAATGCTTGACATAAGGAAACTGACAAGTCACACACATATTTTTTTGCAAAAACGTGCTGGTACCCAGAAATCAAAACATGTTATCAGAGACACATTGATCACCATCAAGCATATATATACAATAGTTCCTACTATATGAATCATTTATATAGATTCACTTTGCATAGGGCTAGTTCTTAACTACCATCTTTTTTGAGCTCTATCGCCATGTTTGCAGGTTGAATCATGTCGAGTCAAATCCAATTTGTGGTCCTGAAGTGACACATGTTCCACGGTTCATAACAAGTCTCTACAATTCAACAACATTCATAACAGTCCATATTGCACCTATCTGCAAAAGAAACAGTAACCATGATGCCTTGTTTCTTCTCTCAAATTTATCGCTAAATATACATCTGAAATACCACACCATTTCTGTTGCTAAATTTCTTGGCTCATACACTGTCTATTTATGAGCCAACAAAAATTTTAGCAACATTTAAATAGTTGGTTTACTATTTTTCTGTTGCTAAATTTCTTGGTTTATTGTTTTTTATGGTCCATTTCTATTTGCCATTTGGGGATTATTTCCCTTACTAACCATGATGCCAGTGAGGTCACGACGTGAGGTCGTTATAATTTACCCAGATTTATGTCTATTTGCACCAAAAAAAAAACAACCTCCAATCGACTCTTGACGAAGGGACATCTTCTGGGCATCTTCTCTGCCATCATCGTAGTCAATCGCCCGCAAGGCCACCAAAATAATCCTTCGCTGAGCTGCTGAAAACCACTGGAAAATGAAAAGTTATGGTGATTTGTGAGTATATATATATATAGTCATTGGTGGTTAACGTTTCTATACTCATTTAAAAACCACTGAGCTTTATAGTCATTGATGGTTGAAAATGAAACATGGTGACAAGATGTGACAAGGACTGATCGGAAGGTGGAATGTTGGGATGGTGATTCAGAATTATTAAGGGGCAATGGACTCCACAACGTCCCAATTTCATTTCTAGGTGGAAGATTACAATGGTAAGAAACCACTAGAAAAGGCGACCAAGTCATGTAATGTATATTATACATATCTAAGTATGTCTACATCTTTTAGTAGCAGATTGTTTCAAGTTAACATACAGTAAGTATCTAGAAGAATAGACAAAAATCCAAGCACGATTATAGGGGATGGATGAATTCTAAAACCAACAACGGTCATGGGGACATGTGATATCCCCTGCCACCAACTCTGGGGAAGGCCTTCATCTCAAACAAACCTCTTTGGTGGTTTCAACCCCATGTTTTCAAAATATGCTCATCAACGGGGATCATTGTCCATATGGTTGAAATGTGGTGAAGAAAAATATTGGAAACCAGCAACCAGTAGGGTTGTGACATTCCTATGATCACCAAAACCAACCAGAGTACTGTACAGCATCTCTCTTCAATCTGACAAGCGCAAATCAAGCCAAGCATCGTGGCCAAGGCGAAACCACAATCTTGGAAGTGTTCCTGCGCACCCTTGAGGTAGTGCCAAGGCGTTCCCCCCCGGCGTTCAGCAGACCTTTTTGAGAGACCAATGCTTGCCGTAAAAGAAAAGTTCAAACGCGCTTCTGAGATCAACATGAATGATATATATATGTATATATATATATATCATATGATGTCCTGTATTTAACTATGTTCCTTTAACTATTAACCTTTGTATCCTGTGTTGTGTCGTGCATGTTTGACTTTGTTGCCTTGAGTTTCAGTCCTCAGGTGTATCCAGTCGGAAGTTTCTCAAACATGGGTTCTTTCCTTCCTGCCAAAGAATGGATACTGCATGTTGTTTGGTTCTTCGGATCCAAAACGATTTCAATCAAAGGCTCGACCAAAAACATATGATCGGACTATTTTGCTTGAGAATCATCAGATGATTGATTGGCCAATTTGGAAACAGATGGGACTATTTGGCTGAAAACATTAATGATTCTCATTTTACTGCTCCAGGTCCCTTTTTGTTGTGTTCATTGTATCATGTTTGTTGGACTTTTTCGAAGCATCAAACAACAGAAATCCACGGGGTGTCCTCCAACATCTGATTGTGTGTGATGGCCCATAACACCTTGCAGGTGAACAGCGCGACGAGAATCTGAAATCCAAGGACTGGGGGACCTACAAAAACATGACCTAAATCCTCTTGGTCCGAGTAGAATCATCCTCTTGAGAGGACACAATGGTAGTAGGAAAGGTGGGGTCAAAAAAGGGGTGGATTCTCCGATTCCCGGCTAACTCACCAAAAGATTGAAAGGTGGTGAGGTTCCACAGTTCTTCATTCTTTTTGAAGCTACGAGTACCACCAATCTAAGAAGGGGTTTGATCACCGGCTGGTCGCAAAATGCTGCAATAACCAAGGTTGAGGTAAAATGCTGCAAACCATATGTTATGTTTTTAGGACAATACACAATTCTCTTTGAGATGTGCAATACTGACCCCTGCCTAGGTTTCCTGAAGTGTGCCTTCCTTGCGATTCCAAAGAGGTATTGATGAGTTGCCAAATGTCACTACTATCAGATCTCCAAATTCACACTAACACGGCGATGGAGTTCCAAATGTGGATAGTTGTGTTGGTGTATTGCCAACTGCAGAGTAATATGACGAGAAAAATCGAAACAGGGCAACTATAATCTGGGGAGATCTCTTTGGAGCCCAAATGTTTCCTTGCCATTCTGCACCTGGCCTTTCGAATGACTCGGGAATGTGGTAGATCAATGTCTGGCCACTTGTCTACCTCGTCAGGAAAGACTCACAGACTCACAGCTGCCGGCTGGAGGTCTTTTTAATGGACATTCAGGGTTAATCCGGGTAACAGGGAAATTTCCCACCTCTATCGAGAACAATGACCCGCTTGACAGGCGGCTGGTAGAGAAGCCGAGTTACGGGATCAGGCCTACCAGGTATCATTGGAACTTCTGCAATGTGAGAAAACATAGCTGCCCGCATCATTACTCTAAGATACTCTAAGTGGAAAGGGTATGGTAGGATCATTACCTAAGTTGTCTGAATTGAAACACAAGAAAAAATTTCGGCGGTGGGAAAACAACTTAGACCGTTCCAGAACTTAGAGCAGCCAACGATAGCCCTTTCGCATCATTCTTGCGTGGACCCCTTTTTTTATACAATGACATATTCAAAACCCAAACTACAATTGGATATTTCATTATATATATATAATATTTATGTCATTGAACGGTCGACCGTTTGATCCATAGAAATATGTCAAAATGAAGTCATATAATATAATATATATATACCCATGTATAATCAAGTTGTTTTCTGATATTTATGACTGCATAATTGATGACTGTTTGGCTCAGCTCAAAATCCATGGTTAGCAGTAAATCACTCAGTTTGTCATGGCAACCATATGTCATGGCGGTTGTTCAGATACCATATGTCATGGCTATAGGGTTCTGTATTCAAAATATATCATATTTTTGTTGAATGGTTCAATCATCATATCATATGATATCTTCATGAATCAAAATCTGGTTGGTGGTATACCTACCCCTCTGAAAAATATGAAAGTCAGTTGGGATCATTATTCCCAATATATGGAAAGTCATAAAATTCATGTTCCAAACCACTAACCAGCAGATGATATACCCTCTGGCAATCAGTCACATGGCTTGCTGGACAATTCCTGAAAGACTTCCATGGAAGAACTGTCAATGCCCATTTGCTCAGTGTTCAAAAACCCTGTTAGTTCATGGTGAGTTCGGGGATTATACCAACCAAGAAATATATATACATACACATGTATACACAGATATGGATATGAATAAATATATATATATATACATATGTATAGGGGATGTTCACAATCCATGAGCTGCGAATCCCGTTCCACCGAGGCACCAAGATGTGGATGTTCTCCCAGGTGACTCTCTTAATGACCTCAGTTCCCTCGCACGCCATGTACCTAGGCATGGCGTATGGATGGGGAGCTAATCCCCATGCCAGGCTGCCATGCTTCGATCCAAAAACTGGAGCTTAGTTTAGCAGTTTCAAATAACTTAAGTTAGCCATGCTGAAATGGAGATTCAATGGTGTATATATTTTATATGTTTATAATATATATATATATACATAATAAGAGCAAATATACTATGCAGTACACCCGTAAGTGGACCCCATATAATATATCGATCCAATAGACTACACCAAGGTTTCGTTTGGGGTGTTTAAAATCTGGGGGAAAAGGGATTACACTATGATTCAGAAGTCATTATTATATGGATATGTTTATTGTTATAATCGTCATTGTTAACTTTGTTGATATTCTGATGAATTCATGAAGTGTAAATGATTATTGGGCTTCTTATGACTTTGGCTATGGGATAGGACGGTAGGATTTCCCACAAACTATGACTGTGGATTTTTGAAAAACAGCTTTGTCAGTGGCAATTTAATCTATATAACAAATTTACGATGTTTATGAGTTAAAGAGATATAAATATCACCAACCTGATAACTACGATATACTACAGTACTGAATTTAAACATAAAAAATGATATGATGCATGTGTCTTTGTTGATTTAAACCAACGAGCCCATGTCATGAAACATACAAATTGATGGAAGAATCCCATTACAATCCGGCTGAATTTACTTCAGTTATTTTGCCAATCTAAAATAAACAAAGTACAACAAAGTTATTATTCTGAGCCTTTTTCCAATCTGAAATAAACAAATTGTTTATGGATTGCCGGCTGATTCCTCCAACGCCAAAAAGCTGTAGCCCTACAATGGCAAACTTGGATGGCCCGTCTCTCCACAGATCACGGAGATCATCAGCCTGCCTGGTTTCCTGAATCGAAACTCGTAGGACTACCGCAAAATGGATGACTTTCTGGTTGGTGGTTAACATATGGTTAATGGTTAATATACTGTTAATAATGGTTAATGTTAATGGTTAATGTTAATGGTTAATGTTAATGGTTAATGTTAATGGTTAATGTTAATGGTTAATGTTAATGGTTTCTGGTTACTGTTAATAATGGTTAATGTTAATGGTGATTATATGGTTAATGATGGTTAAAATGGATATCTGGTTGGTGGTTTTAAGCAACCCCTCTGAAAAATATTAGAGTCACTTGGGATGATGACATTCCCAATATATTGGTTGGTTTTAACCATCTTGAAAAATGATGGAGTTCGTCAATGGGAAGGATTACATCACATATTATAGAAAAATAACAAATGTTTGAAACCACCAACCAGCTTTTATAGGTCATCACCTGCCATTTCTCCTGGTTTTTCATATATTTCACCAAGCTGGAAATTACATGTTTTGAAAGAATGAGTCCAAAGATATACCATCTTTGTAGTGACGTTGGCCAAGGAGGTCTTTGTAGTTTAGCTGTATAGATTTGACATTCCATTGATACTTGTGACCTCCCAACTTGAAAAGTCAACTAAACCACATGACCAGCCATGCATTGTTGATTTTTTACGTCAAATCCCAGAAATATCCATGAATATACAATGATATGTCCCATTATGTCCCTATTTTCAAAAATAATTTACCCCCCTGGTAAACTAACATAGCCATGGAAAAGCACCACTAGGTAAACCATGGTAAACCATCTATAAATGAACCATTTTCCATGGCTATGTTAAATAACCAGAGGGTAGCGGTTGCATTGCTCCCCACGGCGGCCACGGCGGAACTCCCAAGTCTTGTTGCGGGGCATCCGACAGGCGCTCGGCCGCCGCGGTCGTGAGCAGCCACCAGCCGGTGGCGCCGAGCGGCGACGGGATAGAAGGCAACATGGCGTCATAATGGCGTCATATGGCAGTGTGTCAAAACCTTGTACCCCTTCTGTTCACATCAAAATAGCTGGGATTTATGGATGTGAATAACCCCCTAAAAATGGTATTCATAGGTATTGATTCATAGCTATGGTGTTTTTTTCCACTGGTTGGTCCACTGGTTGGCTAATAGTAAGTAGGATTTACCATAATGGAGTGATCATCCCCAATATATTGGATAGTATAACCCCATATGTGGGTTTCCATAAATAGGGGCACCCCAAAAAATGGTTGGTTTATAATGGAAAATCTTATCAAAATGGATGATGTAGGGATGCAGCGAACCTGCTGCCTGCTGGGCAAAAGCATGGCTGAATTTAGATGCAGAATCTTGTCCATTCTCAGCTGAGGTTGGAAAAAAACACCCAACATGATCATCAATGGGAATTCCCTTACATAGGCCTGAAAAATAGACCTTATATATGGTAGGTACCTCCAATAAATCGGATCCTCAGTCATGGCCATTGATGATCACCAAGACCGACTCAGAAAACAATGGGAATACCGGTGGCTCGACATCCCCATGATTTTCCAGTGGGGTCCCATACGACATGCCCTTTTTTTGGTAGCTGCTGTAACTCGGCCTTAAATAAGAGACACACAGTCCGGCCGTCAGTAGAACATCCAATGACTCGGCGAAACAAGCTGCCATGCATAGGGAGTAAAAAGCAAGGAACATCCTGCTATCTCGGCTAAAGCTTGACCTTTGAAGCTGCAAAGGTGGGAATTTTGATGAATTTTGGTTGTGGTTTACGATCCGATCATGCCACGAGTTCTCCGTGGTGATCGCACTAGGGGTTAGTGAACTACCATGTACCCGGCCTTGTTTTTCACATACAAGTTAGCTATTAAAAATGGTCCAGTCGAAATAGTTGATTTACCCATGAAAAATGGTGATTTTCCACTTCGTTATCTAAACGTTTACCATCTCGGGTAGAAAATGGGAACGAAATGGGGACGAATCCGTTCAGCCCGGTGAGCACAACCACGATTCATCACGATGCAATATGGAGGACTTGGATGTTCACTTTGTGGGAGGTGAATTCTGAAAACACTCTTTGAGGTCAATGAAGTGTAATGAATGATGTGCATATATATATATAATTATATACGTTATATACGTATATTTATCAATTAAGCAACAACTGGAAAAATGTGGACACCCACGATTAGGTAGTAAACCCATCCTAAACACATGTTTCTCCTTGGATCTGTTTCTTTCACCAAATACCCAAGCGAAAAAAGTCAGGGATCGGTCGCTGCCTACTGAAAATACGGCATCCCCAAATCCAGTAATTAACCATAGATGCCATAGACCATAGACTGTCATCTTTATCCTTACTACAAGAGTGCCACTTTTCGGGATATCCAACGCAGTCTGTCCCATTGCAGGAGAATTTTTAACAAATAAAACATTATAAAACCACTGAACTGGCTGGTTAACTGGCTACTGGCTACTGGCTGATGTTTTTAGTAATGTTCACCTTGGCACCAGGGTTCTTACATGCATCATCTGACCCATGAGCGGTCACGCAACTTGGTCCAGTTCACATAGGTAGTGAAAATGTCCATATTTTTTCCACATAAAAAGTTGTTGCTTTCGGAGACAACCATTTTTGGGGGACTGTTTCAGGTTTCAGGTAGAGTTCTTGAAGATGGAACTTGGCCATATGTCTTCAATGGTCTTTGGGTACCAGGCAGGTTGACTTCCTGTTACCATTTGCTGCTTTATCAATCTTTGTATTAGACAGCAAGAACCCCTTTTCCAAGTATCTATCAATGAGACAACCCCCAAACAAAAACAAAAAAACTCCTTAGAGTCTGAACCCATAAGGTTTGCCAGGGATATATCCCATGAGTTTACAGGGTAATAATCCAATTTTCCATATCCCCCATTCAAAATGTATATATATATATTATATATATATATACATATGAATGTGTATACAATATATATATATATACATATATATATACATATATATATATATATACATATATATATACATATATATATACACATATATATATATACATAATATATATATATTATGCATATATTATCATATATTAGACCCATTCTGTTTGCCAGGTTTGCCAAGGCTTGCGGCCACCTTTTCTTCTAAAAACATCTGTAATCGCCAGGCAGATTGAAGCGAGGATGGTCGGCTTCGAGACGCATCCCGTCTTTCCAAGGCTCTGGGATGGCTGGAAGATGCTGGAAGCAGGGCGCGAGCAACCCACTTTAGAAATTTGTTTTGGGAACTGATGGGAGTATTAGATTATACCGATATACATTATAATTTTAATGTTAGATTGATAATTTAATCTGATTTGTTGAGAGATAAAACATTATTGTTAGCAGATTGTGATAGTGAATGATTTTTAAGTTGGAAATACGTTCATAATTTGTGGAATTGATCCGTAAAGTTGAGTTGTCCAAGTTGATAATTCACTCATCTTTTTCGTGTGACAATTGAAAGTCATGACCTCTGAGAGTGTTCAAATGTCTTTCCCATTGTTGAGACAATGGATGGAACATGAAGTCGTCAGGTTGACGGTTGGGCCAACCTACTGTATCAGAGAAAATATGTCTCAAATGATAGAGATACGATGGCCCATTCAATTGATATTATACCAAATTATACCAAATATATCCACATATCAAATGGTAGAAAAATGGGAAGAATGGTCATCAACCGAATTTTGATGCTACTTGGTATTCAAATGCATTTAATTCTGGCATACAGCTGGGTCCCAACCAAAGCAGTTGGATCTAAATCCTGAGTTTCCCGTCAGGTAGCTGTAACAATTTTAAGATGATTCAAAATGTGTCCAAAACATGGATCGGAAATTGTCTAAATATATCTAAATACACCCGGATAGAATAGACTTGCCAGATCACACTTCGCAGATCTGTGGCAAATCGTCTGGCGCCAACGGCGGCACGGACGTGCAAATCGACTCAAGGGGATGTCCGCAGCACTGCCCTGATGGGAAATCCACTGAGTCCACTGGTCGATAGAGATCACCTATATAGGTCACAGTTACAAGGCGAGGTTTCCGCATTGGAGGTTTGTTGGCTTCCATGACTCGAGAAAAGGTCCCATTCGATTCTTTCGAGGTATAAAGATATCCAGACCATCCAACCACCACCGAAAAATGGTACAATTAAGGGGTAAAACAATGTTTGAGGGTACTTGGAGGGTCTGGGTATATAATATACATATATATATACATATATATATACATATATACATATATATATATAGAATATAAAATAAACCAGACATGCATGCTCTGAGATGGTGACAACCCCACCTGCAAACCGTTGTACTACCGCTGTTGAACAATTCTGAATCAAAGACACAGATACACACGTGGAGAATGGTGGTTCAAACCCATTTCATCCCATCCCCCTAAAAACAAACCCTAAATGAGTCCCAATACATGTAAATCCCCTACTAAACCATGGTTTCTGGGGGACGTTTAATATTTGGGGAAAGGGATTTTTGTGCCTCCAAACAAAAAGTATATAGACAACCTGAAGCACGGGTGAATTGAAACCAATCAGATTTGAGTGCCAACACTTGGCAGATTTTTTGGGGTGTCGTTTGCTTCCATCACTTCAGACACCCCCAGCCGTGCACACCCAGCCGCACATCAAGCCTCCTGAGGGCTGTTTCTTGGTGCTCGGCCAAGTCAACTTTGCAAACTTTCTCCGTAAACTAGACGACGGATGGCCCGAGAGCGTAGAGGAGCAGGGTCTTCTCTTGTTAGTATGGAGACACATTTTTACAAACAATATATGAAAGATGTGTTATAGGCAGTCGAGAAGAGGAGTATCCAGACAAAATAGTGAGAAGTGCAAGACAATAGTTTGCATCGCAAACACTTTTACGCACAGAAGCTTTTACACACAGACGCTTTTACACACAAAAGCTTTTACACACAGTAGCTTTTACACACAGAAGCTTTTACACAGAGGCTTTTACACACAAAGTTTTTACCCACAGAAGCTTTTACATACAGAAGCTTTTACATACAGAAGCTTTTACACACAGACGCTTTTACACAGACACTTTTACACACAGACATGTTTACACACAGACACTTTTACACACAGACCCTTTTATACACAGGAGCTGCTTTTACAAGATATTGGATTCCCCCACACATGAATGATAAATACAACACTTGTGGATCAGTTGCGCTGGTTGGTTGATAAGGATTTAAGCCATGCAGCCCTTGATACGTTGCAAGTAAATATACCTTAGATTTTGCACCCCATGCGCCCTAGATATCCAAACAGAAATTGACATGCTTGTTGCCAGTAACGTCCCCATGTAGTTTTTTGCCATATACATATATATATATACAACAGATTACACAACATACAAGACAGCCAAGATAGCCAAGACATGCCATGGGGCCAGAAAATCATCAACTCGCCGCTGAGTGCTTCAGATATGTTCAGATCTCTGGATCAACCTTCTGTTGTCCAGCTCTTCACAATGTTGTGAAGGAAGTAGTGATCATTTCCCTGGACAAGAACCGCCTGCACGGATTCACAAGCCACCAATTGGGGGTGTGAGGCCAATAAGGCTAAGGCGGCTAAGGGATGAAGATGGGTAAAATGTTTGACTATGTTTATGATTAATGTGGTTATTCGGTTATTCAAAGCATGACTCAATGATTAATAGGACAATATCAATATTGCTAACGTTAATGGGATATATCATGGGATATACGTATCCCCGGGCTACGTGTTGGATTCTTCAAAGTGTGATTTTCATGATTTCTTGGCTCATTAAACATCAGCTTGTTGGACAAGCAGCAACTCTAGTTGGTGGCTTCCAAAAGAATGAGGACCGGCTATCACTGGCGAAAAACCATGGGTCCCCACAGAACCCTGGTAATCCCTGGTAAGTACTTAAGTGATACATATTCCAAGCTGCTACTGTATCCACTGGTTTTTTGTGCTTGTTTCCCCACAGAACCATAAAAACTATGTGTGGAATTGCCCAAGAAACCATGTTTAAAGCTTAACGTAATTTCGATATATTGGTGGATGCTTTGGGTTAAATAACGGCGCCCCGTTGAATCTCTCGATTGTTTTTTTCCATTGGTTGGTGGGGTCGCAAAACTCCCTCATTCACCATGAATTTTTGGGTAGCCTCCTTTCCGAAGCAACGGCTTATGCTAAGCGGCTTGGGGATCAATCCACGAGATCCACCAGTGTAGCTGGCTGGTTGGAGTTGTTGTGGGAAAATCCCTTTGATAAGATGCCCACAACATGAAGATCATGAAGATATTCGGTTGGTGATTATGTATCAGGTATCAACCCCACTTAACCTCCCATTTTAATTTTGGGATCCCATCTTGGAGAAGTTTATATCAACATGTTGAAACATCATCTGATGGGCGATGTTTCACCCCAGGTTATGGGCCTCCCCGCCGTCTTCCTGCTCAAAAGATGAACTTATCTTTCTCAAACCGAAACGTTGTCAATCCTAAACACCCTGTTTGTTTGGCCGCTTATGCTATGTGTGTTTCCGATGTTTTATGGCCAAAATAGCCCATCCAAGGTTTGCCCAGTGTGAGAATCAAGATTCTGACCCACCCTTGATCACTCATGTCACCACATTTAAGAAAACTTGTAAACATAGACATTGGTGGCCAGTTCATCCGGGGAGCTGAGCAGACGGAAATCCCATTGAAAATTACATATGTATATACTAGTTGTTGAAAGGGGTTCCAATCAATAGTGATGAATCTCTGAGAGACACATGTGCCATCGTCATTACAAAACCCTTTGAAAATTGATTGATGAATTTCCCCTAGTTCATCAGCAATTTACCCAACTTTTGAGCACGGCACATGTAGACTCTCCCTCAGAAATGGTGAAAAAACCGTGCTCATCAAGGCCCAGCGGCCCAGCCTTGTTCCCTTCATAGGTAAAGTTGATGGATCCGCGGCGAGGGAAGTAGATCTGAATGCCTCCTGAAGTGCCCCGCTTCGCGGAGCTGATAAGGGTGAACCATTCAAACCTGGATATTGTATGATATTGTTAATACACTTACCGTGCGGTAAATGAACACAGCTATGGAAAACGCAATGTGAAGATCATTTTTCCAGGGAGGGGAAGCCATGGGCTTTCTGTTATGTTGCTTTACTGAAGGGTGATATAAAACCGATTCACCGTGTTAGTGGTTGACAATGAGTGAGAGTGAATTCTGCACGGCAAGCCGACGCACCTCGAATGTCCCTCCTCGGAACAAGCTTTGAGCAAGGGCAGTGTGATGGGGCGTGTACTTGGAGGATCACTTGACAACTTGTAAGATCTTGTAAGTAGTTAGCAACTGGGGTTAGTTCACCCACTTGTAAATGGGACAACTTATTAACCAAGGTTATTAACCACTTACGATCCGTAGGATGGTCCTCCAAGCACGGATATCCACTGACCCGGGGCCCCGCTAGATAGCAAAGTTGCTTTCTAACTAGGTCAGCTATGGTTTATGGTAGATATAAGTATCAGTAATGACATTTATAAAATAAACCAACTTTTAACTGCGGGGCCTGCCCTTATTTAAATGCAGAAAAATCAATCTGATCTTTGCGATTTTTGCGATTTTTGCGACTTTGGTACCACAAAATCATCACACAGGCCCGCCCCCTCAAACCTATTCCACCACATGCCACGTGTCTGCTGGAAATGATGGTTGTTCGAGTGTTGCCGGATGGCATCCAGGAATTGATCCTTTGTTCCTGATCCCCCGTGCATCAGGAATCCCGTCCCATCCCCTGGTTTCTCCTGGGGAACTAAGTGCGTAATCGGATCTTTGGGGAACAGCCCAGGTCCCAGAATTCCCTCGGGTGGAATGATTAACGTGTATATAGATTCATAGGAAAATAATGTAATGTAGTGGATCTAGATGCTCCAGCTACATCATTTTCCTTATCACCACCTCTTTACCTCTTTTGCCTTTTTGGTCCAGGGATATCTATCCTTTTGAAATTTTCAGATCCAGGCTGACCATTGGATTCCTCAGATGCAACAGAAACTGCCCCTTTACATGATGTCTGAGCCCCAGTGTGGGCACTCTTGTATGTGTCACTGTATATAGCCTGGTTGGTGAACATCACAAGAGCCAACAACATAGCCATCTACAGTAAATCTGTCACAGGGGACTCCCCAGTGGAGTTGCCTCTGGAATTGTTTTTGGCCGTTTTGGGCCGTGCCCACAGAGGGGTATGGATCATTTCAGCGTGGCACCCCACTTGTTCCCATACCTAACACTGTTTCATGGCATAGTCATTGGGGGACTCACAGTGTCAGAATGATAAAACATCCTCAATTCGCGTTTTATTGTCGGGTGTACCCATACTTTGGGTGATTTACAACAAACCTAAGTGGTGGAGAATTGGAGATGGTTTCATCCCAAGAATCGAGGTATGTAGACCCAACCTCACAAACCAACATGTTGCCCATTATTTTTAGGGAGGTCCATGATCTGTCCCAGAATCATTGTCTATCTCATCACACCAAAAAACAATGGTCTAACAATTTAACCAATAATTTACTGGGACTTGTCTGTTCACCCCAGCTGCAAGTGGGCCCCCCAGTTATAAGTTGGTTATAGACCAGTCACCATAGCTAGTTATATCTACCATAAACCGTAGTTAACCAATTTAAAGACAAATCTAGCTATCTAGGGGGCCCCCAACCTTGCAGCAAGCAGGAAAAAAAAACATTGATGATCAAGTATTTTTGGCAGCGCACCTGGGAAGTACCTGCAATCTTTTCGTGGTGGCGTGCGACTGCGACCTCTCAAGGGCGTTGGGAGTGGTGGTGCCCCAACGATCAACAAGGCACCCACCAATCATACTCACCAGTTGTAGCATTCCAAGTTTTGTGTGTATTTAAAAATAAATATATGTGCATGTAGTATCACATACATGTATATATCTATATATTATACAACCGTTGAAATATATTGAAATTACCTAGTTGGATCATTCCTAATCGCATAGATACCCAACATGTGTTCCATTTTTTGGAAATAATTTCTTAGTGTGTGTGTGTGTGTACACATATCGCAATCTAAAGCAAACGGTTAAAATTCTATCTGAAGTATCCATTCAAGGTTTCCACGGTTATATCAGCTGCCCATCATGGTGTCATTGTGCCTTCGCCGCCCAAATTTCCATGGCTCCCATAGTTCCCATGGCCCCCTTGCCAGGACCAGCCAGATCCTCGCGTGAACATGGGGATTTCATGGGATTAACCAAGGAAAATACGGATTTATAATCGACCATAATTGACCTTCATGGGGATACATTGGGATACATCACCAACAATGGGGTATACCAGTTTACCCCTAAATTGGCCTTTACAATAGGCAGGATAGGGGAAAACAACACCACCAACTCCACCAACCATCTAAGGTTGGCTTCTACTTTTCAAACGCCCATCTTCATAAAGCCATACATGATAGTCATACATGGTGTGGGATCCTGTGGGTATAAAGGATAGATGTATATGCAAATGTGTAAATAATAATTAATATAATACATAAACTCAGTTGCGTTCCTTCTCTTTGGCGCAGAGCAGGAATTTGTCACAAACTATAACTAACAACTGGAAGAAACTTAAATAGTCAGTCTATCAGCCTATAAAACCAGCTAGATATCGAAAAATCCCTTTTCAAAGCCCGTCTCACCGGGCCCTTTCACCAGGGCTCCAGGCAAACATCGCACGCCAGCGAGATGGAGCTGGTTTCTTAAAGCGGTTCACAAATCCCTGAAAAGCCCCCTCTAGCAACCCACCAGTTAGGAGGAAATCAAGTCGCAGCGAAAGCCAGAAGGTGTACTCCACTTTGAAGACAGGAGACAGGCAGTGGCAGTGCTCCTTTTGTTTGGGGCTGTAGATCTTGAATAGCAGCTAGAATGTCGGAGGCCCTTCCTCGGCCTTCACCTGTAGTCCATAAATGCCCAAGATATCCGCCCACCAACAAATCTAAAGGGCGTGCCTGAGTGGGCATTTGCAGCCGATTGGAATGAAGAAACTGATTAATTTGTTGCCGATAATTTTCATATCTCTTGTACTTAAGATAACTTAAGATCCTTCAACTTTGCTAGGGTTTTCCGGACTCTAATGCGTTCCTCTCTGCTACGTCCCTCACGGTGCTTCTTTACTTTGACCATTTTTGTCGAAGAGGTCGGCGGCTCGGCTTACAAGAAGTAAAAGCCCCCCTGCAAAGGGAGTGCAAACTTACAAGGAGGAAGAAATTTGATGAAGGGAAATACAGAATTTTCACTCCAATTTTTATATAGATTATCGGTAATTTGGAGGAAATTTGGAGGAAGCGCAACGCTTTCTTTTGACCCGCAAATGTTGGTGAGGATTGAGGGACCCGCCATTGGTGGCGGTCTTCCCGGGGGGATCGCGCAGCAATGGCTGAGGTCAGCCTCTGGTACACTGACATCTCGATTGAACATTGTCCATTCACAGGCGATGTTGCTATTTTAAAAAATGCGATTTTCTATAGCTACGTTAGAGCTGTTAGTTTACCAGAGAGTAACAGAAATCTTAGTCCACACTTGTCTCTTTTCTGTCAATAGATTGTCCAAAAGGATTTTCCTGAAGGAACTGGGAATCGCATTTTTCACTTCATTTTCTGGGTTGGGGCTCAACAAGGGAAGTTTCTCTCGTTCAGAGGCTTTCAGGCGATTGGATAGCTTTTGGAAACTCAGATTTGAAGTGAATCTTGATCGAACCCAGCACTGGTTGCCGTTTTGCCCACTTCCCCTCACTAATACCGCCGGGAGTCACTTTCTTGGAAGAAAAGATTCGAGAACATATCCTCTGGTAATGTAACACAGCTATGGAAAACAACCATCGATAAGAATTCGAATAGGTAAATCATCCATATTTTTGGGCCATAACTATAACTTCCATGGCTATGTTGTTAAATAATGGTCATTGTTCATCATGTCTAATCACCACAGCACCACCATATTCTTCAGGACCCTGTCCTTTGTGCCCTTTGCCACCTTTGTGTCCCTTTCCACCTTTGCCGCCTTTGCCACCTTTGCCACCTCCTTTGCCTCCTGAGTTCTGAGTTGCAAGGAAGGCTTTAAGCAGTGTCGCCCGACATGTAGAAGAAATGTGATACAAAAACATGATTTGAGTGATAAATGTTGTACACACGGATAATGCATCACTCCACAAACTAGAAAAACGACAATGCACGCATCCGAATGCATCCACATGTACATGTGTAAGCCTAAAACCCAGCAATCAATCCAAAATTCAAAACCAATCGGATATCACAAGATTGAGGAAAGTGTTGTACTGTAAGTATATGTATTTTTCTGTGTATATATATATTCACATATATATATACATATATATATATATTACTTATTTAATATTATTTATGCGTGTACATACGTATGTATGTATGTATCCATTGATGGATGGATGGATGGATGTTTGGACGCATGCATGTATGTATGCATGTATGCATTAATTCATTGATGCATTAAATGTATGTACACAAAGGTTTGATGCAGCGAGAAGATCCCCAGATTGTTTTAGTTATTTACATTACATTACATTACATTACATTACATTACATTACTTTACATTACATTACATTACATACATACATTACATCCATTACGTACGTACGTACATACATACATACATACATACATATTTATATAACAGTATTATGTACAACTAACTATACCTCTATTTCTGTTGGATTAATCTTCATGACCCTCCAGTAATTACACTAAAATTGACCCTAAACATAGCCAACTTTTGGAGGAAGGCAATTAATCTCCAAACCCCCAATCCATGGCAGGGTCTATGTTAGTTGCACCAGGATAAATGCCCCTATCAGGTCCAATTATTTATACTGGTTGGTTGCCCTCCGGTAATCCGTTAATTACTCCATCATTGCCACGTTGATTACCAAAGGGAAATAGCTACCCCTATTCTGGGTTATCATAATCCCCACAAAATAGATAGTACAAACCCCAATGCATGACCAATCAACAATGGTAGTGTGATTATGGTTCAGCTTGTGGGATGGCACACCGGATCTTAGAGTAATGCGGCCATTATTGTCCCATCATTCTCCCAGTATCCCCAGTTATCCCTGATCTAGACCTTCATTATCAAGATTTCGTAGATGTATACTTGGAGGATCATCCCACTTAGTAAGTGGTTAATAACCCTGGTTGGTAAGTCCCCTAATTGGGTTTTCCGGTTCTCCCATTTGTGAATCGTTTAAAATTCCAGCTAATACCCTCCGGCAAACTAACATAGCTATTGCAAAATAAACGTGGTGATGTTCCGTCGTTTTTTGTAGGTTTACCAAGCCGGGTAACCACAACCACGATTCGTGGGGTGATCTTCCAAGCACCCCACAAACCACCCCGCAAACCGTGCTGCAACGCCAAGGCACCGCCTTTCCCAGGTCCCGGGCGCGGGGGGGGCCTCCCCGATCCGCTGCCGCTTCCCGGCGGGCGCCGGTTGCGCTGCGGCGGCTTCGGAAGCGGGGCCACACCACCTGGCACGGCGAAACATTGGGAGAAATATGGGTATGATCAGTGGATTGGTTCACGGGAAAATTGCACCGGAAACCCCATATTTAATGGTAAAAAAAATGGGGGTTCTGGTTAAGATTTTCCCACCAATCCAATGGCAACCCAGGTACACTGGTGAACGCCAAAATAGTTGCTAAATGGATGAATATCCCTTCAAATATGGTGTAATAGGTTTTGATCCATCCCCATATGATCATAGAATATAAATGTCTAGTTATTAACAAAGATAAATTATGGATAGTTGATCACTAATAAAAAAATAACTATAGGAATTGATCAAAAATTAATAGCTACATGAATATCATAATAATGATGTTCATGGCAATTTATATCAATATAGTTTGTTAAAAACAATGATAAAACTTTAAAGGTTGCGCGCGCCCCGCCAGTTGTAAGTTGGCCTATATATAAGCCCCAATAAGTATAGATACCGACTCAGTCAAGGAAAGATTTTTGCTTACGGATGTGCAAACATAAGCTTGAACAAACTCCCTTTTGCGCTTTCCAAAAACCTCAATCCAAACCCACTTTCATCTTTACAGCTGCTGCCCACAAACAAAGAAGCAAAACGAATATTTTTGGTTTATGGATGTGCAAACACAAGCTTGAACATATTCCCTTTTGCACGTGCCAAAACCCCAATCCAAAAACACTTTTATCTTCAAAGCTGCTACCCAGAAACAAAGAAGCAACATTGCAGCATTTGCTCCGCATGTGGGCAACAATAGGAGATAAGAAACTGTGTGTCTTGCATGGCGAACTATTGTAGAATGTGCTTCCACGCCTCCAGAAGCAGAATTGCACAAACTGCGTGTTTTGCACAGCGCACGTACAGTGCACGCACAGTGCACGCAGCAGTGCACGGCCACAAAACGCTGTAAATACCACGGGATTACCGTTTTTATGGACGATTTACCTCAAAAAACATTTTTTTTGTGTTTTCTCACCATTTTTGGAAAATGCGTGGTGTTTACTGCGTTTTGTGGCCCTGCACTGTGGCGTGCACTGTAGCGTGCACTGTGCAAAACACGATGTTTGTGCTCCCTTGTATTTTCATCAGCAGAACGCTGCAATTCTGCTCCTGGAGGCGTGGAGGCACATTCTACAATAGTTCGCCATGCAAGCCACACAGCTTCTGATCTCCAATTGTTGCCCACATGCGGAGCAAATGCTGCAATGTTGCTTCTTTGTTTCTGAGTAGCTGTAAAGATGAAAATGTTTTTGGAGTGGGGCTTTGGCAAATGCACACGGGAATATGTTCAAGCTTGTGTTTGCACATCCATAAACCGAAAAATATTCCTCTTGCTTCCTTGTTTGTGGGCAGCAGCTGTGAAGATGAAAGTGTGTTTGGATTGTGTTTTTGCCGAATGCACAAGGGAATTTGTTCAAGCTTGCGCTTGCACATCCGTAAGCCAAAACTCTTCCCCGGGCTCTTCAAAAAAAAGCCATCCTCCTACATGTTGTCAAATCACACCTGATCCCCCCGCGCCCCCTTGATCAATGCTGTTGCTCAAAGCATGCCGGCATCCGAACCGAAATTGCTGCTTTTTTGAAGGCGTTTCCAAGCAAAGCGATGTAACAACATTGAATTGGGGGAAGGGGGGAGCGCAAGTTTCTTCGCAATGAGTGTGACAGGATCGCTGGATTTTTGGAAGAACCCGGTATCTCTACTAAAAACCCTAGTGAAAGTTGACTTGTGAACCAACTTAGCTACCTATGGTGCACCACCTTGTACAATAAATAAATAATGATTCTATGATACATGCAGTGTCACAATAGATACGTGTTACATATAGTGATGTAAAGTCTATCCTACAATAATGTTTGATTCATAGAATTGTCCTTTACAGTATCATTAGAAGCATTATTATATAAATAATGTTAACAACCTACTGTATAATGCAAATCTAAATCTAAACAATAAGCAACCCACATGTTGTCATCATGAATTGCAGCCCACATCTACAAACATTTATTGCAAACCACATCTGTCATCATGTTTGAAACAATGCGACAACATATAACAATCTAAAAGCACGTTCGCCCCAACCCGGACGTTGCTGCACACTTTCAATCGTCATGATCATCACCATCATCACCATCATCATCACATCATGATTATCACATCATGATCATCATCACATTAAAAATTCGCCACCCCCTCTGAACAATATGTTGACTGGGGAAATAATAACAACTTTACTTTCATGAGGGTTCAAAAATTGCCACCTCCTCTGAACAATATGTTGACTGCGGTAATAACATCAACTTTATCTTCATGAGGGGTCAAAATTGTCCAACCACTCTGAACAATAGGTTGGTTGGGGTAATAACATCAACTTTATCTTTTTAAGGGTTCAAAATTTGCCACCTCCTCTGAACAACATGTTGATTGGGTAATAGCATCAACTTTATCTTCATATCCACCTGAAGTCGGACGCAGCGCAACCCTGACGATAGCAAAATCAAACGTTTAGTTTCTTTTTTCTATCGAACATAAGTCAGCAATACCAGTTGTTAATATCAGGCGTAATTCAAGATAAGACAGGATATAATAATAATAATAACAATAATAATAACAATAATAACAATAATAATAACAATAATAACAATAATAACAATAATAATACCTAGCTGATGAAATGATGCTTAGCGGATAGTAGTGACAATGCTTTTGCATGAAATTGTTGATGTTATTCTTGCGTATTGGATGTTGGCTGGGAAAATGTAAGTGTTACTGAGAAGGTTGAATACGCAATAGTTGCTGTACAGATATATTTATATCATTTTATATCATTGATCATGATACGGCCACTTTTTTCGGAGTAAAGGAAAAAAACGGAGTGAACGAATCAAAAAGCACTAATCCTGCGTTAGTGATGTTACCGGGTGTAGTCTTGCATTGTGGGTCAGAACAAAAGCCATCAGCTTCCCAACTTGCGCAAAAAACATGCACTGACAAGCCAAAGTCGGGGATGTCCAACAAGATCTTGCCAAGTCCACCAACGATTATGGCCACTTTTTGGACGTAGATGGGTGTGGGCGGTCTTATTTTTGGACAGTCCCATTTACGAAGGCTTCGCGACACCCAGAAGCTCCTGGCTTGGAATGTTTGCTGGCTGGTTAGCTGATAATTGTAATTGCTGAATCTAAGACCCTTGTAAGATGTTGTAACTATAGCGCGGAAATTGCGGGCTTGCAAACCGAGTTGCTAACACTTGGGTCATGTTCACTAGCAGTCACTAGCAGATCGATATTTGGGCACTCGACTTTGACTCATATTTCCACAGGCAAAGGTTGGAACTTGGCGAAACAACATACACATGGTGCTGTAACTGCGTGGTTTATAGGTGGAAATTGACGTACTGACTCAACTCCCTAGAGCGTGTTGAAATATGTCACTTCCCATGGATGATTTCTGAGCTTAGTGTGGTGTGTCTTTGAGGGGCTGAAACTGGGTTACCATGGACTTCATGCGTAAGCATATATGCACAACGGTATTTGTATATATAACTAACATTATCATATAATATACTGAAATCTAAATGACCCGGATTTGACATACTTAACCGATTGGTTGTGAACACACACACACACCATTCACACTATGGAGCAAAAAAATATATTATTTGGTATGACAGTATATGACAAGCCTTACTAAGCCAAGAAAATGCCCTAAGGACTTTTGTAGCCAGGTCGCCCTCCAAGTCGGTATGTGGTTAGGAAAATCAACCCAAACAGAAACCTTCCCAATTACATTGGCTTGGCATGGCTTGGCTATATCCCGTTTATTGGTGCTTACATCCAGAGCTTTCGTTTATCACCCCATTGATGAAAAAATCAAGCCATTTAGTAGTGGGTTTACACCTTTTTTCACACTGTGTTTACCCAACCACTCCTTATGCTGTCGTCAAGGTTTCACCCATTTGTTGGCGAAATTAGCACTGAAATTGGTGACCACCCCTCATTTATCTGTCGGTACTTATCCTCATGTTGAGTTTCCCATATCATGGACGGTTAGTTGGTGTGAATTTTCTGCATTATATTTTGTTGCTTCAACCACCATGTTTGACTCTTAAATCGCCAGGAGGACAGTAAATATGGTTCTCTTGCTCCTCTGCACTTCGCCGGCACATGCCACGGTAAATCCACTCTGCGATGGATTTGCCCTGCGGCTGGCCCCAGAAATTGGCGTCCAACCCTGGAGATTCACAGCCGACAATATCCATTGTTTGTTTTAAAAAAGTTTTCCTGGAACTAATTTGGGCAACTTTGAGCCCACAATAGGTCTTAGCTGAAACTCGGCAAAGTATCTTGGGCATGTAAGATTTGAGATGGAGTGAACTTTGGGTGTTCCAACATCATCGTGTTTGGTCCTGAACAGTCTACAGTCTGCATTCTCATCAGTTTCATTCATACCATCGTCTGCTGCAGGAGCGGAGAGCCCTTGTTTTTGGGTTTCCGCTATCCGGAAAAAAGAGTTTTGGAGGGGCAGTGTTCAATGCATACCTGTATGTGACTGCATGCATCTAATTGCATGTATATATATATACATATACCAACACACTTTGGATAATAATGGTTGTGGCTGACTGCAATTCGGGATTGGCTGGCCGACAGCCCTACAAAACAGGTTTGGCATAATGTTATACTTGTACATTCCTCCGGCACTGTCGGCAATAATACGTGAAACTTTGTTTATCTAGACACCATCCAACATTTGGGACAAAAACTGGCCAGATTAATAGTTCCCGTAATTTCATTTGCAAACTGGCCAGCCACCGAAAGTGCTACACCGTGCTACACCATGTTCACATCGGTATATCAGCATAGGTCAAGTTACGACGGCGTTCAGCAACTTCAAAAATGACATGTACTGTCTAGTATCAAAAGTCTCTGAAATCATCCAAGGTGATCCGACTTGCATGCAATATGTTTCACTTATCATTCTTAATTGTCACGTTTTTAACTCAGGTTTCCTACCATCATGGTTTCCCTAACCATTAACTAAACATTAATGAACCATTAACTAACCATTGGCTAACCATTAACTACCATTGGTTAACCATTAATTAACCATTAATCAACCATCTTGCAGGCCTCCGGCAGGTGGACGATGCGCATCGACGGCAGCTCCTCCTCGCCGAAGTCGAAGTCCAGCTCGGCGACGGGGAAGATCTGTGGCGGCGTTGACGGCGACGTTGAACCCGGGAGGATCAGCCACAGGTGGTGAACCGTTGCTGTAACGGAAAAGAAACTGGGAACATGGTGATTTAACATGTTTTAACCCAGAAAATATGGGGATTTCAGATTCATAGCTGATTTCATCGCCGAGTTAGTGAACATATGACTCCAATTTCACTTGGTTTTAATATTTATATATATTTCTATTTATATATATATATATTTATATTTAAATAAATATATATATATTTGCTAGCCCCCCCCAAAACCGACGTTTTTCTCTTTCTTGTTTTGAAGATTGAGTAAATAGTTTGCTTTTTAAATTAAGTATACTGGAGTGAGTTTCGATTTCTCCTGACACTTGTGTTGAGCAAAGATGAGAATCTAGAGGAATATTAGAGATAAACTTGTTTTTGATATTTTAGATTTCATATCTAATATCAAGTTTATAACTGGAGTAAAAAGTTTTAAAGCCTCATCTAAGATATTTAGTAATTTATCTTCAGGAAATTCCATTCCACATCCTTCCACCATAGTTATTCCACTTTTTGAGCCACTAATAAATATATCCACATTCTCTAAAGAAGAACTAGAAACAGATAGAAAAAAAACTGGTGATTCAAATTGTGCCAAAATATCTAAAACATGCTATTTTTCGTATGTTTTTTTCTGCTTGCTTACTCTTTTTATTACATACACACAATTTTCACAATCTACAAAACAAATAAAGTTTAAAGCTCTTGCTATGAATAGTTGGATGAAAAATGATTGGCAAACTGCTTTGAACGCTAGCAAGAAATTTGCAAATAAATGTTTTTATACAGCAATAAAATCAGACTTTTTACACAATCCCTTAAAATACGTACAACAAGTAAAAGGGTTTATATATTATAACCCATATTGGCAAAAAAAAATGTCTGTTAATTCAAAACGCAGAGCAATATTTACATCAATTAACACCTTATGAAGTCATTAATTGGTGTGAAAGATATCCTCCAAAACAATCTTTTGCAAAAAATATTACCTTAATGCTCTTCAAACACTAAAAATATCTACTCATTCAATAGAAAGTAAAGTATGTCAACTTAAAAACGAAATATGGCAAGAAAATACTCAATTTAATATACAAGAAGAAAAGGCACTGTTTGATCAATTTTCTAGATATATATCTTGTAAAGATCACTTAATTAAAATCGACAGTCTATTACTACAAAACCAATTAAATAATATTTCTTATTTTTTCAGTTTTGAAAAAATATAGGGATAAAAAGATAGTGCAATGTCGCATTTTAAAAAAGGCAAAAGAATATTCAAAGCACAAAAATGTATCATAACATTATAAATAATCATCAATATAATCAAGGATTAATTTTGATTATTTATTTTCCCGAAAAGATCTACGTCTAAACCCATATATAATAGAAGAAAATTACTAACTTAAGAATATGCTATGCAAGGGAACTATTATTATTAAAAAATCAACCTTGCCTATAAATTGCTTAATCAAGCTAGCAAAAATATAACAGATATTGGCTAATACTTAAAAATACATCACTTGGCAGGATTTATAGCACTTATAAAATTAATAGAATATAATATTGCACTAAAACATTTTTCCCATATAGACGCTATTGCTACATCACCAAATCAAAGAAGTAGAAATTGCTATTTTATGCATAGTTGCATGCAAAGTATGCAAAATCTAAAATATTATGCACAGTCAAAAAATATTACAAAAAACTTCAAAATACTGTGCAACTTTTTATGGAATGATAGCAAATGAATGTCTCAAGAATTTAAAAATCCCTTTACAAAAAACAATTGATATTAACAATGCAAAATTATATATACATGCCTCAAACCAAACATGACAAGATGAAATTGAATTTATATCTTACCCAATAAAATATTGAAACAATATAACCTTGCAGACGTTTTAGTAATCAACTATTTAAAATTATCACTAAAGATAAAATTTTATATATAACAATATTTTTGATATATGGACAAGAAAATCGAAATCTAAAAATGATGATGTGTCAATGTGCTTTAAATCGTAATATTGTAATTGAAGATAAACTAGTTCAAAAAATGACATTACCTTATGAAATTCCACTTCAAAAATCATTATTTAACTCATGTACCAAATAAATAAATAAATATATCTATACATATGTGTGTATAAATTGTTGTCTTACTGTTGAACCCAGGTACTTAGGGCAATTTTGTCACCAAAAGCGTTTGCAAACGTTTGCAAACGTTTGCAAACGAGTCCAGGGGCCCAAGTACTTAGACTGGCTCAGGATTCAAGATTCAAGATCCAAAAAGGAATGCGTGAATCCCAGGGCTAGGATCAGGAGAGTTTCACGAAGTTTTTTCTGGATCTTGAATCTTGAATCTTGGATCTTGAATCCTGAGCCAGTCTAAGTACTTGGGACTCGTTGGCAAACGTTTGCAAACACTTTTGGTGACAAAATTGCTCTCAGTACCTGGGACCCTCGTCTGTTGCCAGGGGGGGGGGTGGAACCCCTAAAAAAATAAAATAAAATGGAGGGGCCTAAGGAAAAAATGCCAATAAAATGAGAAGGCATAAGGTAAGATAGGAAAACCCAAGTAAAATACAATGGACAGGTACAAAAAGAAAATGACGTCAGGCACCCTCCACCTGGCCATTGACCCTCGTCTGTTGCCGGGGGGGGGTGGAACCCCTAAAAAAATAAATAAAATGCAGGGATCTCGGGCTCCTGCATTTTCTTTTGGGTTGATCTTGTTTTGTCTTGTTTCCTTCTTTGATTGGTTTTAACAATCTTTGAAGGAAAACCCGAAAACCCCCAAAATGGCAAGAACCAACCTCCAACATATGATTTCTAGAAACCACCCAGAAGCGAATTATATATTATATATATATTATATTATATTATATTATATTATATTACATTATATTATATTATATTATATTACATTATATTATATTATATTATATTAATATATATATATTGGGGGGAAGTAGAATCCCTGGGAGTTACTTACAAGAATCTTTTGTGGTTTATTTCCAAGCGCATTTACCTTTCTTTCATGAGCTATCCTACAGATAGTGGGCAGCGATCGACAACACACACGTGCAGTGCGTATATAAATAAAATGAGGATACCTCACGGGCCCTTGGAATACTATGATGACTAAAGGTAGGGCCCCTCCATTTTACTTCCTTTTTTTTCACAGCTGTGCAGCTTTGCTATCATGCTATCTCTGTCAGTTAACTTGATGGGTTAGGCACCTCAAAAAAATAAAAGTTAACTTGATGGGTTAGGCACCTCAAAAAATAAAATGCACCCACAAAATAAAATGCCGGGGTCTGACCCATTTTATTTTCATTTTATTTTTATTTTTTTATTTTAAAAGGGGCTCCTGCCCCCCCATTTTATTTTTGTACGCCGGACGGGGTTACCTGGGTTCAACGGTCAGTAAGACAACAATTTATACACACATATGTATGTATATAAGGTACCCCCCACTGGAACTCAAACTGAACAAGGTAATTTGTCCCAAAAGCGTTGCGACCTCACAAACGTCAGTTTTGGGGGGTACCTTATTTATATATATATAATATATATATATATTATATTTAAATATAAATATATATATATATATATACACGTAAATATAAATATATCTCATATATCCTTAACTGGGATGACAAACCAATGACTAAGGGGAACCACGTTGTGGGTTTGGAGATTTTCGGGAGAACGGTACTGAAATTAGTGGATGATTCAGGATTTGATTACATTCCAAGGATCCAGTCTGTAACGAAATTTGGACTCCTCTTAGTTCTGATGTTTACCCAGCTGGGGGTAAAATGCAAATCATCTATTTTAGTAATTAGGATTTTCCATGACATAAACTATCCAGCTATTGGGGTACCCTGGTACCCGCATTTTAGGAAACCTCCAATTGCTTTCAAGGACTCTATGTTTCAATCATCCTTCTTGGCCCTTGCTCCACTGGATTCCACTGGCGCCTTGCGGTTCTCATCGACCCATTCGCCCGTCACGGCATGCTTGGATCGCTTGTCCTCGGGAAGGTGTGTCTTAAAATGGGGCTCCAAAATGGCACATGTTGTGTAATGTGATTGGGAAAATCCATGAAAATTAATGTATTGCACACCCTGGGATTTGGATGGATTTGGGTTTCCAAGACTTTGAGAAAACATCACTGAGATCTTTGAAACAGAGTTTTCTCGCCTCGGCACTGTCATCTATTCATCTCCAAATTTATGTAAGTGTGTACCGCAAAATGACAACGGCCACATGCTGCTTCGGCAAACTCTCCGCTTTAGACAGCCATCCCTTGGTGTTTGAAACTCCTCTTGATCAAGGACCGAATTGGGGTTTTAAAAAGACATGCAAAAGTCAGAAAGATAAACACATCAAATCATGAAACCTGAGAAAATACTGTATGTCCTTTACCTACTGTACAGCGCCGTTCTTTTCAATCTGGTAATGATCTGAAAGACCCTGGTTCAGGCCAGGTTGCGCAAAACGGCATGCGCGCTCCAACCGTGGGCCGGGTGGTGGTTTCATCGAACATGCGATCCCATGTGTTGTGCTCACCTGCACAGCTGGATCAATCGAAGCTCCATGAAAAAATGGTTATGCCCATCTGCCCATAAAGATTTGGTATGATATGGGGCCTGATCAAATTATTGCGGAAACAATGGGTAAGAAATAAACCGACAAATGGGTGTCATTCTTTAAAAGGACGAAGGCATCAATTGGTTTGGCGTCAATCATCCTGAACTATCCCTAGGAAAGTTTCTACAGGACCAGGTCTTGGGGAAGGGGAGAAGTTTCCCCTGAAATTCTGGCCCGACCTGGACGATATTATCTGGACCTTCTCTTGGGCGTGTTGGGAACCTTCATTTTGAGAGAAATAGCTGAAATGGTGCTAAATTCAATATAATATTCCCATGTTCACTGCCATCAACATTTGAATACAGCCAGTATGATATATACATATATAACCAAAGTTTAGTGCAAGAAAGGGGATGACAAAAAGTTGGCATACAACAATAAACCAAAAAGAATAGAATACACTCCCCAAATCTAACATGGAACTGCATGCTATTGCTGAGGTCCCCTAACATGAACCTATGGTGCGGTCTCAAGTGGATTATGTTCCCAAGGGGATCATGCAACTATTTTTCTAATAAAATCGCTCCAAGACTGACATGGAACCTAATGCAGGCCCAAACTGAACCCAAACTGCACCCTGAAACAGCCAACATGGAGTTTGAACAAGTCATCACAAAACGATCTGCAACCTTGAAGGGTGATTTGAAGTTTAGCCTGGAGCCCAAGTGGTTTTTAAGGCGTGGCCCAGGTGGCTCTTGCAGATTCCATGTTACTGACTTTCGGGCGACTCTATTTTTCACGTCGTATTGCGCTCACGGTATCATGCTTTGAACTTGGGTGGAGCCATCGCAATACCAGTTAGACATAGCACCCAGCAAATTATGTGGAAATCGGTTGACAGTTTCTCTGCCTCGCTGAATGGCTGATGACTCCGGGAGCTGGATGGCCTTTCCAGAACTGTTGGTTGAAAACTAAACTTTTTACCTACCAGGCCCAAGATTTGCCCATTTAGGTTCCAAGTTGGGTTCCAGGTTGATTTGTTTCGGTGGGGGCTCGGCCTCTGCAAACATACCACGCTGTGTTAAGATAAACTTTTTGCCTACCAGCTCCAAGGGGTGCCCATTTAGGTTCCAAGTTGGGTTCCAGGTTGGTTTGTTTCGGGGGGGCTCGGCCTCTGCAAACATACCACACTGTGTTAAGATATTTTTTTTACCTACCAGCTCCAAGGGGTGCCCATTTTAGGTTCCAAGTTGGGTTCCAGGTTGGTTTGAAAAATCAATTAAGTACACATATACAAAAGAAAAAGAAATACAGACGATAAGAATCTTATCGCCTGTATGGATTTCTGCTGCTTTTTTAATGTTTCTCAAGCTTTAATTTGCATAACATAATCTTACCACGTCTCATTTCACAACGGTGGGAGGACCTCCGGGCGCCAAAGCCACGGGGACACACAACGGGCTCGAAGTTGGGTTCCAAGTTGACACAGGGAGCCAACGGGGGGAGACACAACTGCTCGTGGACTTCGCCCGGGGTAAACACGCTGCGCCCTGGCAACACCGGGGAAGCCTACAACGGGGTACTACAACTGGAAGGCCACAACGGGAAGGCTAACATGCAACTGTTGGTTGAGCACTAAATGGCAGCTTGTGGGGTTCTATGTTAGTATGACAGTAGCCAAAAAGTGCCCGAACATATCAAAATATACCAACACATACCAACACCAACATGGCACCTACCTGGCCCTTATCCCGCTCATGAATTTTAACATGGGTGCGCTAACATGGAACCCAATTTTTTTTGTGCAACTTTAGTTTCCGGGAGAGTAAGAAAAAGAAACACCCAGCTAGACAAAATCACAAGCACTTGGACGCCAGGACTAGTGCGGCGGCTCTTTTGGTGGGACTCTCGCTTCCAAGAAAGACATCAAGCAGCCAAAGAACCACCAAACATAAAAAAATGCATACTTGCTATTGAAAATGGCCATTTGTAGTGAGTTTTCCCATTAATAATGGCGATTTTCCATAGCTATGTTAAATTACCAGAGGGTACATCCACTAATTAGTGAGAAAGTATACCGTTCCCAGGGACATCTGGTGGATCCACCAGAAAGAGCCGGTTGGACACAGATCCCAACGAGCCCGAGTACCACAGTTTTAAACCAATATCTACCATCTGTCCCCATTGTATCCCACATGTGTACATATACGATCATATATGAATATAATATAATTAATCATATTGTGACATGTATACAATTACACAATATAAATGCATATATATATATACATACACACATGTGCTATACATACATAGATATTGCTGTCTAGTTTGCAAGTAGGGCCCACATTCCAATTTCAATTTCAGCCCAGTCACAAAATACCTTCGCCCTTGCCAACATCTCAGCCACTCGGTGCTCCTGTGCTGAAGAGTTTTTGTCCTTGAGGAAATGTCCAACCCTGCAAACATTAATGGGGACAGTTGGCTGTAGTGACTACAGTGATTTGATGTGTGATCCTCGATGTTTGCTGTTGATGTTGGTTAAAGAGAATTTCCCCAAAGGGAAATGAAGCAATCATTGAATAATCAACATGAACCAACATAAACCAACACCGAGGGACCGAGAGGAGTGGGGACGTAAGCAGTGATGTCCTGACACTAGGAAAAAAATCGAGACTGGACAAAATTCACCTCACACATGAACAAACAACGTGTATTGGCGGTCGGACGTGGCTTTCATAATCCCTTTGAACCAATAGATACTGATCTCATGTTGTGGGTTTATTAATTACCAGAAACATTATCGATAACTGCTTCCGATAACTCATGACGGTGCAAATGATTGAGGCATCTTTCGTTATTGGCTTTGCTCACCGTATAAACATGTTTTCATTGTTGCTACTGACATTTTTGAATTCTTCGGTTTTGCAACATCGGGTGAAGATTGGGTACCCCCACACATTTCAAAAACAAGGACTATATAGTAATTCGCAAATTGGTGATGTTGGTTTGGGTTTGTGCTTCGGATAGCTCTGGAGCATGCCAATTGCATCAGCCGTCATTGCGGATCACCCTCCCTGGTCAACATGGAAATAGAAATCTTTTAAAACCCCCCAAACGCGAGTCGGACTGCGCAAAATTCCAACGAGCATTCCCCTGGTCATCCAACTTGGCCATAGAAAAAAAATGTTCATAGGAAAATCATGGTAAATCATTTGTCGGTGGCTATATCCATGTTCTGCTCTGATTATCTATGATTATATCATATTATACCCATATTCATTTAATCATAATTATACAAATAGATATGCATGGAAATCATTCCCCAGATCAGACTGCAATCCAGCCATCCGGTCCCGACGTGTCATGTGTCGTCGGATCTGGCTCCTTAATCTGGCTCCATTCCTCGAATTTCTTCACGGTATAGCTCCTCGCTGATCGCCACTACACCGTCGTTTACACACACAAAAAGCAGTTGAATGGTTATATATATATATATCCGCCGACCCCAGCCTGCAGCAGGGGAAGCGCGTCAGAGAACACCTTCCAACAGGAAGACGACAGGAAGCCTTGTCTCTGCGCGGGCGGCTGCTCTTGCGAGCTGGCGGCTGCTCTTGGCATTCTTCTTAGACAGTTCAGAAAACGACGTTCGGCCTTCAGACCGGGCAGCGAAGGGTCCTTTTCCGAGCTGGCAGCTGCTCTGGGCATTCTGCTTAGACCGTTCAGCAGCGCGAAGCCTTCCGTCCTTCACTGCCATGCTGCTGTTAAAGCGTGGCGAAGGGTCCATTTTTCCGAGCTGGCGGCTGCTCTTTGGCATTCTTCTTAAACCGTTCAGAAAGCAACGTTAGGCCTTCAGACTGGGCAGCGGCGCGAAGCCTTCCGTCCTTCACCGCCACGGTGTTCTTTTTTTGTCACTTAATTTTTGGTCGCTATCCGGTGAAACATAAGCGGCTGCATCAAGAACCCACCTGCGGGAAGCCATCCAAACACATCTTCAAACAACATGCGATTTGGGATGCTAATGCTTTAGACTGCCCACTTACAGTAGGTTGTGTGTACAAACATTTGACATTTTGTCTTTTAATGTCTCTGCGATATCCCTTGAACATGCTCTCTCATTGTATCTCACAATGTTGGTCTTCTGACAACAGGGGTCGGCGGCAGTGGGCGGCAGCCCTTTAATATATGTATATATGTATATATACATAAATATGTACATATATATATATTTATTTATTTATTTATTTATACATAAATATGTTATATATATATATATATGTGTGTGTGTCCCATTATATCCCCATTATGTGGTTGGTTAAAAAAAATACCTTGGTTATCCTATAAATCCACATGTTCGATGGTTGAAACACGATAACAACCATGATTTTTCCGTTATAGTTATATCATATTATATCTCCATGTTTGATGGTTAAACATGTTCCGTCCAACCCGGACGTTCGTCCACACTCACAATGATCATCATCATCATCATCACCCCCCATCAACTTATCTTCATAAAAGATCAAATATCCACCACCCCCTCTGACACATATGCTGACTGGGGTAATAACATCAACCGATAAATATATGTATATTATGCATATATATATACGCATATATATCCACATACCTGTACAAATACAAGTAGATATACATATACAGATACATTTACTTATACGTAGACCCACATATATATATATATATACTGACTTATTTCAACATGGAACAAATATACATCTACAATTCAAAAGTCCACCAACATAGCATGTCCAAAGTACGCTATCCTTCCACAATTTCGGCGTGAAGAAACGTCAGGGTTTCAGCGATGTTGTTCAAACCCATAAATCCTTATCACCAATCGACCAGGGTATCAACTGGGGTATTATACCATGTAAAACCTGATGTTAAAGCCAATCAACTAGAGTATCAATTATGGTTTATATAGGTATTATACACATTATACATATATTATGGTTATTTATGGTTTATATATAGATATACACATAGATATATATCAATTACAAAAAAGATCAACATCCGGGAATGGAGCGACGAAAAAGCCGTCCTGGCTGCCGCAGCCTCGTCCTTCGTGAGAAGGATTTCAGGCCTGGGTGCTGGGTGCAGCTAACGGATTTAACCATCCAAAATGGAAAGTTAATGAGATTTAATATGTTTTCATGGGATACACGGATATATCGTGGGATATAACCTGCTTGGGGGTGCGGGGGTCATTCATGGGTATAAACATGGTAATAAGCAAAAGCTGGGATCTAAGCCCTCTGGGAATCTACAGTATGTATACCCTCTGGTGGTAGAAATCAACATGTTTCAATTGGCAAATCATCTACGAATCGGGGAGCCTATCCTTGATTACTCGAGTAGGGTAGAACCAACAAAAAAAACGTATTTATCTTAGACATGATGAACCCAAAAAAGGAATGCCGGTTGAAGCAAAAAAAATGCCGACGGTGGGCGCAGATCTCCGAAATATAGACTGCGGATGACTCCTAAATCCAAACACGTCTTGGACATGCCCAACCAGTCCTGCTTGTAAAAACGCAAAAAAAGAAAACATGGTACAATGGTGTGTATATTGTAATATATATATATATTTGCAGAGAGAGAGAGAGAGATCATGTTTCAAATGTTGCATTCCATTAGCTGTCTGTTGAATCCCACGCTTGCGGACAAGCAACCATACCAAATGGTATGACTCCTTGAACACGTCTTGGCCAACGTAGAAGCCGCTGGCCTTATGCTGCGCAAAGGCCAGTGATCCAGCCAGCTGCTAGAAACGGGATATCAAATGCCAACTCTGGGTGAGATTATTTGCCTACAAGGTGGTACCCCATAGTTAGTTTATGTAGTTGGAGTATAATTCCAATAACTTAGGTTTATAATAGATGTCTATCTATCTATCCATCCATCCATGCATACTTCATGGTTGTTGGAGGGGCACCATCTTGTATCAAACTTGTAGATACCATTTGGGTACACCAGGCCAACACTTGGTTCCTCCTAAGCTTAGCCAAGGCAGTCTTAAAAATCCGAGTGCTGCATGAGATGTTCATATTGCATGGATGAAGTGGTTTCCTTCCGGAGTGCACCCGTATCCAGGGTGGCGGCAGAAGGACCGGAAGGACTGTCCGTTCTCACGGACATCACCGTTGATCTTGATCTTGTACCCGGCCTTAAAGCCTTTGGTGTACAACGCAGCGCATTAGAAATGTGTTAGCCCATAGAAGGCATCCCTGACGAAAGATGTCTTTCGATTCAGCAATGCCAGGTTCGCCATCAGTCAGCCCAAACTTTCTGATCGGTTGAGGGCAAATGTTTCAATCATGTCCACTGGTTTCATCCATAATCTCCCTAAAGCCAAATAGTCTAAACTTCGCATCGATCAATCATTATCTCATGTCAAGAATATTTTTCCATGTTTGCAGTTTCGTATCCTCCAACGTGTTTTGTGTAAGTATCACAAGCCTTTGCAACCATCAACTATTACCAAGGTGAACTGCGCATTGTTACATTGAGCTATCGAAATCAAGTAGCAATATCCTTTTGGAAAAAAAAAAGAGCAGGGCCGTTTGGAACGGTATAGACTTTTTCATCATTTCCAAAAAAAGATTGATCCAGAATGTTGTGAAGGGGGCTGAACCGTCTATTTATCAAACAAACATGTTGTTGCCACATATTGTACCCGCACTATATGTACAATAGATACATAACTATATTCCCACACAATGGCGGGCTTGACCCCCATCTATGATGCAAACATCATTTATCAACCATATCCCCATATATGTTTGATGGTGAAAGCCAAATAAACGATTGCAAATTCCACCGTTTTAGATATGTTTCTCCATTGAAAATAACACCATCTTATTGAGACCCTGGCTTTCCCATTTTCCGATTTTTAAATGAAAAAACGATAGTGTTCCCATATCCCCAGTCTTAAATCAAAATAGAATTGAAACTGAAACAAACACAGTTTTCCCACTAACAAATGCCAGGGCTTACCTCCCGATCCAAGGCACGTGGAAGAGCACAACGCGAAGTTGTGCTGAGGGGAACACTTCGCGCAGGACCTTGGCCCTCCACTTCAGCAGCTCCTCAAACAGCAGGAGCTGTGTACCACCAAAATGAGGTGATAAATGGGGATTATACCATCAATTTGATCACTTGTATATATATATATTGATCAATCAGAATAATGAACTTTTAAATATAACAATGTTTGGTTAACTATGGTGTATATATAGAACTATTTTAAATGAGTTAACCATGAAACATATGGGAGTGTGTATGATAAATCGTGAGTCCGGCTGGCTGATGTTTACTACCAGTGTCTTATGGGAATATCAATTGGATGTGTAACCAACAATGTGACAGCCCATCGGAGTGCAGTTGTTGGGGTTGCAGTGACATTCCATAAGGTGGGAGATGACCCTGATAATTGTGGAGAGAAACACACGCAAATTAAATGAAACCGCACCGCCAAGTACCTAGAATCTAATTCAAGCTTCACACAAAGTTTGCATGCACAAGGTATCTTTGATTTAAGCACCTTTAAGCACCTCAACTGTCCACTAAATAAAGGATTCACTCAAAAAAACAGCAAACTGGGGGATACTACAAATGGATGCGTGTTGTTGGTACCAGCGATCGAATGTATAGGTGCGTATACAACCAAAAGAAATGAGGACAACATCTTACAACCAACAAAACATGGATACTTCAACCAATGGCTTAAGTGGCAGTTTGAGGTGCCGAGGGTGCAAAGGAGTTCTGGGGGATACCCCAGTGATCCTTTTGAAGGGGTGTCCTGGTATCTGACACAACTCTATATCTGGATGCCAAGCAATTTGCACATGGGGCACCAGCTTGTCATCTGACAATTTCCATCCCAGCAATCGGAACAAATTTGAGATATTAGCTGAGATGCTAAGTCTGCCTGGCCAACGAACCCACACAGAAACTCAGGAAGTCATGGAAGCGTACAGTCCACGCTATACACGGCATGGAGCATCCCTGCCACAATGCAGCGAGAATCGCAGGAACGCTGTGACTGATGCATTTGATCCAGAATTTCAAAAGGCAGGACTTTCTGCTCGAAAACGGCGGCTTTCCCAGCATCTGACAGAGGGATCTTTTTGTAAACTGGAGCCAAATCCCAGCACCAACCGATCCTTTTGGTCAAAGTGGCCGCCTGTTTATCATTCGAAGCTCCAATTACCACAATGTGGTCCACACCACGTATCTACATCCCTTCGTGCTGGGTAAAACTTGCATTGAACAATTCATGCTGGGGGTGTTCAAGATTGTTGACACATACCCAAATGGCTATGATAAGTGTTTTACTCGAACAGAAATGAGTAAGTACTTTATGTAATTGTACGGTAAATGTGGTTTTTTTCCCAGTCAATCGTTCACTGGCTCCATGGTCACTAACCAGCTTCCATAACAATGGTTTTCTCAAGATTGCCGTTCTTGTAGGATAGTTGGTGCAAGGAGTGAAGCATCACATCGACATTCCCTACTGCTCTATAATGACCATAGATACATGTCCCATGAATCTATGTATTACAACAACCCGCATAATAACAATGATAACAATAATAATAATAGTAATAGTAATAGTAATAGTAAAAAATAATAATAATAACTATATCTACATGTATACATACGTATATATATATATGGGGGTTGTTTTTTATTCCTTTGAGATTGTTTCCATTTAGGAGTTTTTGCGCCTCGCCCTTGCGCGCTCTTGCGCGGCCTGCGCTTCAGGCATTTTTAAGGTTTTTGAATGGTTTATAATAAACATAATTCCACAAGAATACAAACATTAAAAATTGGCCTGGAATCAGTTCGGCAAGAACAGAATGTGGAGTCTGAGATGGTGAGCGGGAAGGTGTTTCGAAATGATCCAGAAATGGAACCAAACCATACAAAATTTACACATCTCCCCTACAAGTCCAAAGCAATGATGCTGTAACCGAAGGAGCAAAGAATCTGAGATGGTGAGTCGGAAGGTGTTTCAGAATGGTTTCAGACCGGTTTCAAACCCTTTCGGGGGCACTCACGGGGCTTCGCCCTCTTTCCGGAAAAGAGGCTGAACTTAAACACGGCCGCTTTGGAAATCAAAAGCCCCTAGGTGAATTAGGAGAGCGTAAGCTTATTCCCCCTAAGGAAAGTGTAATAAAATAGGGGTGTCGACTGCCCTCTTCAAATATTTGCTTGAGCACTGGAATCCCAAAACGGCCATTTTGGAAATCAAAAGCCCCTAAGTGAATTAGGAGAGCGTAAGCTTTTTCCCCCTAAGGAAAGTGTGATAAAATAGGGGTGTCGACTGCCCTCCTCAAATATTTGTTTGAGCGCTGGAATCCCAAAACGGCCATTTTGGAAATCAAAAGCCCCTAAGTGAATTAGGAGAGCGTAAGCTTTTTCCCCCTAAGGAAAGTGTGATAAAATAGGGGTGTCGACTGCCCTCCTCAAATATTTGTTTGAGCGCTGGAATCCCAAAACGGCCATTTTGGAAATCAAAAGCCCCTAAGTGAATTAGGAGAGCGTAAGCTTTTTCCCCCTAAGGAAAGTGTGATAAAATAGGGGTGTCGACTGCCCTCCTCAAATATTTGTTTGAGCGCTGGAATCCCAAAACGGCCATTTTGGAAATCAAAAGCCCCTAAGTGAATTAGGAGAGCGTAAGCTTTTTCCCCCAAAGGAAAGTGTGATAAAATAGGGCTGTCGACTGCCCTCGTCATATATTTGTTTGAGCAATGGAGTCCCAAAACGGCCGTTTTGGAAATCAAAAGCCCCTAAGTGAATTAGGAGAGCGTAAGCTTTTTCCCCCTAAGGAAAGTGTGATAAAATAGGGGTGTCGACTGCCCTCTTCAAATATTTGCTTGAGCGCTGGAATCCCAAAACGGCCATTTTGGAAATCAAAAGCCCCTAAGTGAATTAGGAGAGCGTAAGCTTTTTCCCCCTAAGGAAAGTGTGATAAAATAGGGGTGTCGACTGCCCTCGTCATATATTTGTTTGAGCAATGGAGTCCCAAAACGGCCATTTTGGAAATCAAAAGCCCCCAAGTGAATTGAGAGCGTAAGCTTTTTCCCCCAAAGGAAAGTGTGATAAAATAGGGCTGTCGACTGCCCTCGTCATATATTTGTTTGAGCAATGGAGTCCCAAAACGGCCGTTTTGGAAATCAAAAGCCCCCAAGTGAATTGAGAGCGTAAGCTTTTTCCCCCAAAGGAAAGTGTGATAAAATAGGGCTGTCGACTGCCCTCGTCATATATTTGTTTGAGCAATGGAGTCCCAAAACGGCCGTTTTGGAAATCAAAAGCCCCTATAGGTGAATTAGGAGAACGTAAGCTTAGTCCCAAACACGGTCACAAGAAATGAACAAAAACGCACCAATTCTTCTGATATGCTTTCTACTGGGTTCCCACAAACTTTTGTTCCGGGTAGGGGGTGGGTTGTGATACTCTTTGTGAACCTCTTTTGGGACTGTCACGCAACATAATTGCAGCCACGGCTGTCCGAAACCCATGCACGACATGCGTTCAAAGCAAACCAAGCACGGCAACTGCGGTCCGGAATCGGTCCACAAGACAGGCACAAAAGTCAACGGGAAACGCGCGAAATGCAAGAACAGCATGGCGACTGCGGTCGGAATACGGGTCGGCAAAACCTTCCACATACACACACACGCACACCTGGGCAATGTGTCTGAGATGGTGGGTTGGAAGGTGTCCATCGATACCCCCTGTTTCTGGAAACCGCAGGAGCAGTGTTTAGATTTTGTTCTATGTCCTCGTGCCCAACCGATTCCAGGCCTACATGAACATACATACAAGATATTCTAAGATATAATATATGTAGGAAAATAAGAACGAAAATAATGATGTATATATAATATCCTTGCGCTCGCCCTTGCGCGCTCTTGTGCGGCCTGCGTTTCGAGCCATATGGCTGCCAGGTTGCAAAATCCTAAAATCGATTTCCCTCTAACGAATACTACGGGGAAAAAAACTCTCTCATATATATATATTATTATACTAAGCTGCTAAGCTGCTATCAAGCATAGACTTGGGCATGTTTGAAGGAGTTTGTTCCTTTCTATGGTCCCAATGATGTGGTTTCATCCCCTACATCCACCATGGTTTCTGGGTGTTTAATATTAGGGGAAGGGATTACCCTCTGGTAAACTAACAGTTTGCGAACTGGAAAATGGCCCATTTAGTTCGTTGAGTTTCCTATCCACAGTGGTGATGTCCTATAGTTATGTTAGTTTACCAGAGGGTATTTCAAAAGCACCGAACAGAATTTCCCAATCTATCCCGTCTGCTAATGGATGTCCCCAAATCCTAGCGACCTAAAATAAGCTATTGTATGATTACTATACCATAATATTCCCTAATAAGAGTCCATATTTTTGGGATATCCGAAATATCCCCTACCATTCCTACAAGGTCTTCATTCCCGTTTGTTTGATGTCAGGGCACGTAGTCCGGCTGAATCGAGTCCGAACGCTTCATGATGTCTGGCTCGCCGCCCGTCTGCCCACCCAATATGTCAAGGTCCTGTGGCCATGGGTCACAAACATGTTCGGCAATCTAAGCTGGCTGGGAATCCTACTTGTGAATGTTGAAAACTCATCTGTCTATCCACTCTACCTCTACCTCTACCCCTACTCTACTCTACCCTGCTGTAATCCAATCTAATCTAGCCAAACCTAACCCGTCTATCTGACCTAACCTAACCCAAGCCAAGCTAAGCTTAGCTAACCTAACCTAACCAATGTATCTATCTATCTAATCTAATCTAATCTAATCTAATCTAATCTAATCTAATCTAATCTATCTAATCTATCTAATCTATCTAATCTATCTAATCTATCTACTCTATCTACTCTATCTACTCTATCTACTCTATCTACTCTATCTACTCTATCTAATCTATCTAATCTATCTAATCTATCTAATCTATCTAATCTATCTAATCTATCTAATCTATCTAATTTATCTAATCTATCTAATCTATCTAATCTATCTAATCTATCTAATCTATCTAACCTATCTAATCTATCTAATCTATCTAATCTATCTAATCTATCTAATCTATCTAATCTATCTAATCTATCTAATTAATCTAATCTATCTAATGTATCTAATCTATCTAATCTATCTAATCTATCTATCTATCTTTCTATCTATCTAACTATCTATCTATCCAACTATCTATCTATCTATCTATCTATCTATCTTATCTTACCTTATCTTACCTTACCTTACCTTATCTTATCTTATCTGATCTATCTAATCTTATCTACCTAATCTAATCTAATCTAGTCCAATCTAATCTAATCTCATCTCATCTAATCTATCTATCTATCCTAATCTAATCTAATCTAATCTATCTATCTATCTATCCTAATCTAATCTAATCTAATCTAATCTATCTATCTTTCTGTTGAAGGAGAATTCTCTGGACGATCTAGGACAAAGTGCATCGTTGTCCTTAGATATCTTGAACAAGAATAATTGGATATCCTAAAAACCTACATATATCATCAAACTACCCCATAGTCATGGCTCAACAACAATAATAAAAAGCCTCAAAACCTTTTGAAGCATGCCCTTCACCATTCCGTTAATCCGCAGATTATGGACCGGAGCAAGGAAAGAACTCAACCTCCCAGGCGGACTCCGGGATAAATAATTAGGAAGTGGATGGTGTCCATGGGTATAGAATACGTGTAACTGCAACGGGACCTGTTCTTCCCCAAATATATGTCCAGTACATCATTCCTGGTTAGGACCTTGGTATCCTTGAACTATCATACTATCCGGTTGATTTCTGAGGTTAATCCCACATTTTTACACATACTACCATTCCTCAGCACTGAAGACTAATGGACCCACGAACTTGCACATATTTGGCGTTGAACCATCCTGTTTTCGGGTGAAAATGATCTCCCAACACTCTAAGGCCCTCGCCTCTCCAATCCCAAGTTTTGATTTACCATCTGGTTATTTAACATAGCCATGGAAAATCCCTTATAAATGGAGGTATTAATAGGAAAATCATCTATAAATGAGCCATTTTCCATGGCTATGTTAAATAACTAGAGGGTAAAAAAGAAGTGCGGATAAAATCGGTGCTCCCCAGGATATACCAATGGTGAGATCATCAAAGGACCCAGGGACCCATGCCTCAACGAACGCCTGGATCTTTGTCGGGTGTTCGCATATAAAGAGCCGCCTGGGTGTTTCAACCAACTTCAGAGTCAGAAGATCAAGGGCGAGTTGCTTCAAACAGCCCGTATCAACATTTACCCCTCCAACAGGTGCATATATATATATAATTATATATACAGTATATATATATATATATTTATATAGGCACCATTCATGCCAAGGGGGTTCCAAATCTGCTCATCTTTGGCTTGCTTAACGCATCCAATGTTGCGATCAGATCCAAAGAGGTGAGCAGATACTTGAAAGCTATGTTCAAAACTCCAAGAGTCCAAGACTGCGCCTGATGAACTGTCCTGAAGTTGGAAAAACTCTGGCTATTGCAGATGCCGTTTATTTCGATGCAAAAACACGCCGGGTTGTCTGCATTCCATTCCCCAGAAATTTGTCGTGGCAACGTGCCCAATCGTAGTTACAAGAGCAATGCTCCATTGTATCTAGATGTTCATATATATAGTGCATATCAAATGTTATGCCTTTATTCAACATGCTATGTTTTACACATAACATATTGTCTATTACAGAAAATATATCATGTACTATGATGTAATATAATATAGCTATGAATCTATATGTTCTAGTAAATACTATGAACCAAATATCATGTATATATAATATATATAGTCACCGGCAGAATTAGAGAAAAAAAGGATAGGATTCGCCCGTAGAGCCATTGTCGTTGTTTTTTTTCTATTCTGTCGGTGACCTCTGGTGGTGTTCATATTTCATGTTGCCCCAGTTTGGTTGAGACCTGAGAAAGTTCTATCAGAATTCCATAGGTTGCGATACCTATTTTTTTCTACAATTATCTGGGACACCTGATCAACAAATGTGTGTACTCTTCTTTATAGATTGGTCACCCTGGACAACAGCTCCGGGAAAAGTTAATCAAAATTAAATAGGGAAAGAAAGAAAAGCAAGAACTATAGTAACAAAATCATCCAAAAGAATAGCCCGTCAAATCCAGCCCCCGAAGTACATTTTTGAATATATAGAGGAGTCCTTTCCAATTTTTTACGAAGAAACAGGGGAAACAAAAACTCATGAAAGCCAATGCTGAAATGTTGAAATATATTGGAAAGAAAACGAAGAAAACCCATGCTAAAATGCTGAAATATGTTGAAGAACTGCTGAAAGCCAGTAAAAAAATGCTGAAATAGGTTGGACCATTGCTTAAAACCATTGGTAAAATGCTGGAACATGTGTTGGAAAATTGCTTAAAACCAATCGTAAAATTATCATAAGTAGATCAAAAGAACTGAGGAAAAACTTGGCCAAAATGATGAAATAGATTGAACATCAAAATGATGAAAACAATTACTGCCGACATAATTACAGAAAAAAATGACAAAAAAACAAAAACAAACATGTCCTATGTGCGTTTATTTTCCGATTTTCCCGACAAATTCTACTCTCTTTTTTATTGTTCTGTCGGTGACGGTATATCAACTGTCTCTGTAACTATCTCAAACACATTCTATATGTACATGTTGTAACTGCTTAAAACTAAATTGCATATACATATATCAACACTTAAATTTCAAATAGACCATAAACACAGTCAAATACATTTTATACCAAAGATATTCTTGATGTATATAATCATGTATATATATATATGTTATAGAAATGGTTTTGCAAAAAATAAATCATACACATAATATATATATATATACATTGAGGGCCCACCATCAAGACTTCATTTTTCATGTGCGGATGCGGTCCCAAAAGCGGGGCCTGGTGGCAGCACCGTTCGAGCACAAGCCGACTGACAGCCAAACGCACTCTCCACTACCTAACTGTGAGGAAACCAATTGCAACGGATTATGGACAGACGCTAGCTACGTTCTGTGTGCTTTGGCAATGTGGACTCCATACAGCGCTAAAACTTGCCTCGCAACTGTTGGTGGTGTATTAGAGGCTTTCAGCCTTTCCTCCTTTTCACGCGCTTTGGCTAATACCTTTGTATTCGGCCAAAGTGCGCAAAGGCTCGTCGTGACTTCCTGACATGCGGGTTTGAGGGTGTCGTAGGTGTGGCCTTGAAGGGTCGTAGGTTCAGCTGTGAGGGTCGTAGGTGCGCTCCTGGCATGCGGGTTTGAGGGTCGTATGTGTGATCTTGAAGGGTCGTAGGTTGAGCTGTGAGGGTCGTAGGTGCGCTCCTGGCATGCGGGTTTGAAGGTCGTAGATGTGGCCTTGAAGGGTCGTAGGTCGACTTGTGAGGGTGGTAGGTGCGCTCCTGACTTTGTACCACGCACCTCCCAAGATGCACGCAAGACAGCTTCCTGACATAAGCGTTGTAAAGGCGGCACGCTGCCAGAGAGCAAGAGGTCAGCATGGCGTCTTGCGGCTCCGGAAAGTGGACCCTTTTCACTGATTCAAAACAGCTTCTGCGCCATGTCCCCTCATAGTATATATATTGCCAAAATATTATATTGTATAATATATATGTATATATATTTATATTTATATCATAAATTGAAAAACAATACTAAACATATCATTACAAACACAGGTATATTAGAAATATATGTTCGGTGTATATACTACATATTTACATAACACTCATGTGATGAATAGCTGTCCATCTATGACAAAAAACATTTTAAAAAAAAACAAGTTGTATATAAGTACTAAATATCCTTTGCCAGCCTGTTTGGCCAAGTTGCAGTTCGTGGTTGCGTCTGTCCGCTTCGGCAGCTTCATGGCAAACTTTGATGACATCCGCCAATTTTTTCCGGCTGTTCCTGGACGACGGGAGTTTTGGTCGTTGAGTAAACCCCAAAGAGATCGGAAAGGAACTATTTCTCTCTGGTTATTTGTTACATAGCCATGGTATAGATGGCCCATTTATAGATGGTTTACCTATTAAAAATGGTGATTTTCCATGGCTATGTTAAATATTGTTAAATAACCAGAGGCTAAATCAATAGGATTCTTTATACTTCGCTGTCTTGGGGTGGCTATCAAAATGTGTAAAGGTCTGGTGGGTCATGACCTACACCGGGAAGTCTACTTGGACACAAGGCCACACATCTTTGCTATCAGCACAGAAACATCCATCAAATGCGGTCCAGTTGCTTTGGTGTACTTGGTGGCTCATCCTAGTTAGTAGCCAGGTTGTATCCCCAGTTTATAACTGGATTAAACCTACTTACCCTACTTAGAAAATTGCGGTGGTTCACCCACTTACTAAGTGGGATTAGCCGCCAGACAGTACTCCATGGACCTGTTTAAAACGTGGGGAATCCACCGACTGGCCCTTGATGAGGCCCCTGCTGCAATTGTTCGCTTCTTAGAAACCCCAATCCTTAGGAAAGGTTTACGCTAATCTTCAGAGGCAAAAAACATTTTAAAAAACGATCTTGTTAGGTTGTAAAATATCCCAAATGCTGCATGTATGGAATATTTACCAACATTTACCCTAACAAAAAACCAGTCATGTAGGTATATAAAGATACCATACATGGAGCATATGGGTATTGTAAAGCCTTTCCAACAAATCAAAATGACTCGCTTTGCTCCTGGGTTCATGTTGGATTGTGACTGCCTGGACTCCGAAACATGTCCCAACCTTTTGTTACCTAGGAAGACTGAACCCTACAATCATGAAACAATATTATCTATTTGACGATGTTTACGGTTCCATGTAGGCCAAATGAGTCACTTTGATGGCTTCAACTGTGAGGGCATGTCCAAAATCTAGAAAATGGAAAGGAGTCTGGAAAGTTTGTCTCCGAAAAAGGGAGTTCGTTCGCCTCTATACAAATATGTTTAAACTGTTAAACCATGACCTTCCATGAAAACCATACAAGTATAACAAATCTTGCAACACTGCCGAACCATTTTGTAGAGACAAAATCCCATCATCTGGCCTCTGCGCTCACCTGTGTCGATACTTGTTTTGATTGCCTTTTTGTAAACAATAGTTTGTTTGCCATTTGCATAGGTATTGACCCTTGGGTCATTGCAGCATGGGCAGGGTTGTTTTGAAGTAGTGACATGAATCCAAAGTAGCATTTTTCCGGACAAAATGGAGGATAATGGTTGTGTACCCCCTAAGGAAAAATCTACAAGATGACACTAGTGTTTCTTTGCAAAATGGCATTACCTACAACAAAATTACATTTGCTTTTTCAACAAAATGGCATTACCTACACTAGAGCTAAACACATTTTCCAGTGCTACAAATTGTCTTTAAATTTGAGGTAGTACAGTTTCCACAAAAAATGCTCTTACAAAATGGCGGTCCCTAACGCCATGTTTGTTCTAAAATGCTACCCGTTTGTCGCTTTATATAGGGTTTGACCTCACCCATTGTGTAGTGGAAATTTCGAGGGCATACATAGATGGAACATACGGATGCATACTTAGGGGGGCCATCCCAGTAAGTAAGTGGTGAATAGCCATTTTACCCCATACACATATATATATCATATATCATATATCCATACATATATATACCCTAGGATTCCAAAGCCTATTAAAACAACGGTCTTTCCCCTAAAGTAGGTTTCACGATTCTGTGAAACATACTTTCATCTTTGGCACCCATTCACGCCCAATCACGCTCCATCCACCATTTTTCCATCCACAAATGTATCAAGTGAAACTGGGCTTGTGCAAACAGGTTCATCTTCTTCTGGATTCACGTGTCCTCAATCAAACTGCAGTTGGCAGTCAACAAGTTCAATCAAATCGGAGCTAGGACCCGTTGCCATCGATTTGTTTTAAAAAAATCACCAGACTGGCTATCCAAATCAAGCCAAAGCTCCTTTTTCGGGATTGGGAATGCTTCATTGCTCTCAACCTGCACCCACAGGCCACATGGCCTAATCAAAAATACAGTGGATGGAGTGTGATAGAGTGTGTGACTGAATGGGTGCCAAAGATGAAAGTAGATTTGCAGGGCCTTAATTTGGTACATTTCAAGAGCCAGGTGTGCCGTGTTCTGGTATGCGCTCTTGCCATGATGCCTCAGGTTCAAAACAATTTCTGTCAAATGTAAAATGGGCAAACGCCAGCCATATCATGCCACACATGCACAAAAACCTATTTCAAAAACCAAGGTACCTTTCACCCACCGCATACTATCCTCATCGATAAACGTGTGGACAAATCGTGGGTTGGATCCTAAGTCATTCCCAGGCTACAAAGCAGCCAACACATACAAGAGGCAAGACACCAATTCTTCTACCCTATACAACCATCCAAGTTACTAAATCGCCGAACATCGCGGCAAATATGAATTAAGACCTTGGAAACATCCCATTTGCAACAATACACTAGGAATGGCTTGCAATCAGCGGATGTCATTTTGATTCAGATGAGCTGCATGCAGTTTGGGTTTCATCAACCAACGGCTCTGTTGAAGCCTGCACCAGTCAAGCCAAGTAAGAAGGGAATCCCTGCTACAACGTGATGCATTGTAAGAACATGATAATTTATCAATGATAATATATTCTTTGGCCCCAGCCTCACATGCTCCACACACAGTGTTTGGTACAAATCCACGAAACGGATGCCAACATCGTGAAGTGACACTGAAGCACGTCCAGTCCTTGGGATGAAGAAGTGTTGCGACTTGGTGCCACTTTCCTAGTTTACACCAACCTAGTCTTAAGTATGGCTAATTGCAGTTCAAACTTTGGGCACTGGTGAAAACACAAACAAAGACCTCGGATATCCAAAATCAAACAAAGCAATAATAAGGCTTTGGAATCTAGGGTGACCAAACATAGGCTTTGGAGATACTAGGCTTTAGAAATCCAGGGTGTTCCGTTGGGGACTTAGGATATCTGTGGTTCAACAGTTGAGGTTGGAAACCCAAGGTTAACCCAAAGATAGATTTAAGAGACCCAGGGTGATCCAACAATAGGCTTTGGAAATCCAAGGCAACCCAATTTAGAAAGTGTGGTCATTCCCGGGTAATCACTGGTAATCCCATGTTGTGTGTGTGAGAATTATATGGCATATTTGCTGGCTATGGAAATCCAGGGTGGTAATATGTTAGCAAATTATATGCATTTTTGTAGCTTGGAGATTTGAAATCATCCTGGGGATATCTGATATCTTCTTTCAAACCGTGTATGAAATAGTTTTCAAATGGGCTGATGAATTGAGCGCTCCAAATTTCAAGGAATGACAAGAACACTCCATTGATTAGATACCGCTAGTTGGCGGCCATGCGGCATGTGGCGGGGATTCGCCTCCATGATGGAGAAGAACTTCGCAAGATTGCTCCTTGGCAGTGCCAGTGTGATGGGAGTTTCTCCAAAGGTAATCTTTGGGGGACAATATGGGACAATTCCTTAATTAAACGATTAATGAAGTGGTTCAAGCCCCACCCGCTGAAACAAGGGTTGAACATATTGACCCAAGAAAATGGATTGGGGGTTTTCCAAATGGGACTACACCACTCTTGGGCGACCATTATTCAACTTGTGGTAAGGCGCAGTACTTGAACGTTATGAACCAAGAATCATCGCAACACTGGTGAGAACAAGAATTTGATGGTCAGGATGTCTCTGCACAGCATCCAAAAGGCAGTGGTTCAGCCACATCACAATGATTCTGCCATTGTAAGCCTTGGCAGTCAAAAGGACCTCCCCAGTTTTCTTCTTCACCTTAGCCGCTTACACATGTGGTGATGGGAGAAATGCTAGGTTGGGTGCAGAAACCAACTAAATTCATGAGGAGTCTTAATAAAGGCCTCGATGGGTTTGAAGGAACCCAAACTTCTGGTAAGTAAACCGAAAGCAAACAAAGAAATATGACATGACATAATGGATTCTCCACGTGACCATTTTGGGAGTAAAGGGTGGCTGGGAGTGGCTGATATGACGACTCCTGCAGTAGGCGACAAAATGCTTGTACGCAGCATCCAGCCGGTCATCAAAATCTCCAGCACCAAAGTACCCAAGGTCTTCAGCCAAAAGGATCCTTAGCATCGGCCAGTGAAATGGATACGAATGTTTAACATAGCAGAGCTAACAAGTCAAAACAAAATACCAAATATTCGATTCTGTGTTTGGCAGTCGTATTTTCAAACACAAAGTGCAAAACTTTGCAAAAATCAGTGGAGATTCAACGACCCTCCATTTGCTGAGAAAACCAGTCCGAGGTTTAATGTATGCATTGTACACCAACGCAGGATTGAAGGGTGCCGAAACATTGACAGGGTCAGCAACGGACCTCACTGCTGACAATGACCTTCAAGAAACATTATCACCAACAACCCTCATGGGTATCCCAACTGAAACATGGCAAACACAAGGCACCAAAAACTTGATAACTTGTAGTTAGCCAGGGTGCACAGGTTTGTGTCTTTCAAGGCGTGTGCCATAAATCCAGCCAACCCATACTCTTCAGACTCCCACCCGCACTCCTCCCCATGGTGGTTCCAATACAAGTAGCTAGGCTGGGTGCTCTTGGCTAGTGCAGGGCACCTAAAACACACTCTGTTTGCCTGCCAGCTTGCCCTGGGACGCCATGTCTGGACATGGAACTCCCAGTCTCCACGGAGCTCAGTCAGTGCCCACTTGGCACCAGACCGAGACAAAGGCTGCCCTGCACAGCTTTGTTCATGTTGTGATAAAGGCTTCCCTCCAACCCCTGTCATCGGGTGCAAACCTTCAAAGGCACTTTCTAACGACCATGTCAGCCGCTTCCATACCACATTGAGCGTTCTATTTTTGAACAATAGGTGGGTTGGGCAACTGAAGAGACACCATCTCGAAAAGCGAACCGAACATGGTCGGAAATGCACGATGTTAAGATGAATTGCAGTGATTTTTTCGAATTTGTTTTGTGACCACAGCCTTGCACTGTCACCGTGCAAGCCGACTGGAATGTGCTTGTCACTAGCTGGGCTCGATGTAGCCCACGGCTCACCACGTTGCCAAGCCGTGTGCCAGTATTTTGCAATTTCAGACTCTGGTACCACAATGCCTACCTCGTCCCATAGGTAGGATAAAATCTCGTGAGGGTGTAGGATCGGGAACTTCTGGAAGCACATGCCATGTGGGGCCTTCTCATTTTTGACAGGAACCCTGACTTCATGAATTGCCTCGGGCCACCAACCAGTGGACATCATAGATGCGCATATTTCTGGGCTAAGGTGATGATAATGAAACCCATCTACCATTTAGACTCAATCTAGACTGGTAACCTGTAATTGCAATGCACAATCGGCATCGTCTAGTATCTACAACATAACAATAACCCTAGAAGTATTTGTCAGGAACAGGGTTAAGTTAGCAGTTAACAAAAAGGGTTGTCCATTTTTAGACTATGATTTCCAAAAAACATATTTTTTGAATAATAATGATTGGAAACATAATTTTGGTGGTTTCTTTGGTGATTGAGGGGCCCAGTTGGGAATGGCTCCAAAGTAGGGGGACCAATTGATCGATATATTACATGTTGGTGGTAAACCTTTGTTTTGGTAGTTAATAATTTCAACCATAGCTACGAAGGTATTGCCCTTTCTCCAACCACCTGGGGCCTTTAAAAACCAAGAGGCAACAGGGATATCGGCATGGCGCCAAAAATCACGCACATCATTGTGTCCAGAGTGTTGTCCCAGTTGAATAACTTCAGGATGACAAGCATTTCCAGATTCCTGGGGCAAACACCCTGGAAAGGATTGGACAAGGGTCTTTGACCTTATACGGCTAGCTTTTAGGTGGACTTCTCAAAATAGATGACATTAACATAATCCAAACATTTTTTGACTTCCCTATTAATGCTTCCATTTTCTGCCCCCCCATTTTTGAAAACATCCATATCATCAAATACGACAATGACTTATCATAAACATGCTTGGCAAAGTTTTTTGAACACTATTTTTTGGCCCCAGTGGTTTCCCATCAGAACCTAACTTAACCCATCTTAAAAATGAATTCACCATCAGGATTTGCAAGCACCGAAAATGCCCACAAGAACCAAAAGTCCCATCAGATGCAACCAAGGAGCTTGAACTTGATTTCTGATTCGAGACATCGCCTTTGAGATTGAAGTTGCCTGGCCATGGGCGCAACTTCAGGGGAATGGTGGGACACAGTACCGGCCAATATTTAAAACGTGCAGGTCAAGTTGGCACGGTCTTTCCTTCACTTGATGTTAGTTTATTCTGGTCAGGGGTATGTTGCCAAAGGGTATGTTACCAGATCTCAAGATATTAAGTAATGGACAACTATAGATTAATTTGGTATATCCCCTGATCAAAACAAATAATATGTCTAGTCCCAACTTGGATTTATAAAGCCAAGGCACACCTGCCGCAACATCATCAATGTGGCCATGAAGGGTGACTGGCTCCCCCTCATCACAAAGACCTGCGTGCGTGGCGACCATACAGGGATTATACATGCTGTTGTTTTGAATAATCTGATCTATATATAAGTTGAAATTTACAAAACATATAGTTGATCTAACTTTTTGATATGTTCTTTGGCACTGCATGTGCACATGCGCCTTAGCTTCTTTTTAATCAGGGTGAGCGGAGATCAAATCACCCTCCTCGGCCATTTCCCAAATGGCTACTTGGCTAAAGTAAATTGAACACTGACAGAGCTAACATCCTCGTAGATGAAAGCCAAAGCTGTCGGCTACAAAAGATCACCCCGGGGATTATGGGTGAAGTATGGACTCACCACATGAAAACCCAGCCAATGTCCTCCAATTGATTTTCATTGAACAATCTGTAAATACAACCTTTGGGCGTTGAAGTAGTGGAGATTCCCAATGTGAAAACAAATCCAAATAGAATTGGTGTGGGTTGCACTGATTGGATCACCTGGACACTTCTTGGCTGCTCCTAGCACAAGAGGCTGGCAACGACGATCTATGACACTGGTGCGCAGCAGTGTTCCTAAGCTGCACCCAGAGTCCGGCCCAATCGCCGAATCACTTCATGTTGTAGGCTGCAAGGCACTGTAGGAAGGCAGTCACCGCCTCTTCAGCGGTGGCCGCATCATCCAGCAATGTTCCCAACGAATCCACCTGGAGTTTGATGTGGATGGATGGAGTTTGGGGGAGAACTTTTAGTTTGGGTTCACTCATTCCAGGCTGAAATCTATATCATCGGAACATGTTGGAGGGGATAGGGATTGAACTTGCAATTGATGTTCATTTCATTCAATTGGTAGAACCAATCAAATATCATAGAGGTTTTTCCACGGAGATTGGTTGATATATCAATTTCATCACTGAATCAAAATTTCAAGAAAATGTTACATTACAAATTATATTATTTGATAAACCGTAGCTATCCCAAACCCCACCTTAGCACCGTCAACTGCCTTCTGCAATTGGCTACGGACCTGCTTCATTTTGCTCAAATGCGGTTTTACTTCTGCAGTGATGGCATTCTGCACTGATGCACTCCTGGGCAAGTAATAGTGCCCGTTGTAACCAAACACGAAACACTTATTCAGTGCTTGGGGAAAGATTTTCCAAATAGTTGGCCAACATTATGAGAAGCTCAAACTTGGTAATTCTCAAGATGCTGCTACTTCAACACACTATGGGAATTCTAAACCATTTGATTCACACTTGACATGTTATTCTCGTTGGATCATGCTGCCTGAGTCGGCCATTTCAACATGCCGTGTTTGTCCTTTTGGAGCACATATAATGGAGCCAGAAGGCATTTGTTGAAATGACATGTGGAGTTAAAGATCCGCATGTGAAATTTAAGAAACAATATACCATGATGTAATGGAGAATTTGAAATGATATCTAATACATGTGATGCTGTTATATGATACTATAATCATACTATACTGTGAGGACCAGGACTCCCATCAAAGCACAAAGTTGAAAACACCAATATGAAAATCCCCCAATGTTCTCCATCGTGACCCTTACCAGCCAGGCCATCACCACCAAACCTAACCGCCAATCCGGCCAAACCAAAGCCTGGCCAAGGATCATATTGCGAAGCTTGTCATCAAGAGATGTGGCTTTGGAAATCTGCGCATTGACCTTGTTGAGCGCCTGAAGGAGTGATGCGCAGGGAAGTGGGATCAAGAGCAAAAGATCGGTAGTTCACATGTGGGCCCCTGGATCAAATGGACAGTTGGGGGAATGGAAGTAGCAAATCCCTGGGCCAACAAACCCAGCCTGGGTGCCTTTTCGTAAATCCTTCCGGAAAGCATCCTTCTTCTCTTTTTCCTTCGCCTTCTCCATTGCTTTCTCAGCTTTTTTCTTTTCACTCTCCTCTTTCTTCTTTTCATCTTCGGCCTCCTTCTCCTCTCGTTTCCTTTTCTGTTCTTCGGTTTCCTTGTTGGATTCTTCTGACGCTCCAGACTCAGATTCACTTTTCTTTTTTCGATCTTTTACGCCTTTGCTTTTCTTCGCAGCTTTCTTGCCTCTCTTGCCAGTCGAATTCTTTTTGGTCTTCCCTTTCTTCTTCTTGGCCTGTCTATGAAATGCAATCATTGTGACCACGGAAGAAGTCTTCCACTGAATTGGGGTTCCAAAATAAGTCGGAGTTCCAAAACAAATGGAGTGGTCTAAAATGGATCAAAATGGATGGTTCACGAGTCCACATATTTTTGAAAAAAATAGTGGGGTCACGAAAAAGGCTTGGAACACATTTTTTTGGAAACCCTCGTTCCAGGGAAAATTGTTTCGAATCTAGTGTACAAACTTGGTGTATATTAAATGGCCCGTACCTCAAGCTGCAACAATCCCAAGTGTAAAGTTGTAAGGAACTTTGTGGGAATTTGTGCTATACTATGCAGGATCCTCGCCCAAAGTGTGAAAACTGACATCATGGAACGGGAATAAAATGTTTGTATGTCATTGTCCTACATCACTAGTACTTACATGGCACACCATTGATTAAACAATAGGTATAATTATATGGTAGGTGTCTCTAACTGTTTTGACTGAATGAGGGATGTGCCTCTGAACCCGACGATGAGCTAGAAGACGACTTGGCAGAGCTGTCAGGACTCGAACTCTTGCTGGAACTTGATGACTTTGTAGATCCTTTCCTCTTCCTCTTTGACCCCTTGGTCTTGTCACCCTTGCGTGTCTTCTTTCCTTTCTTCCTCCTTGTCCTGGACCGGCCCCTGCTGGGATCCCGCTCAGCTGCCTCAAAGAGATTGGTCGTCACATGATCAACCGTGGTTTCTTCTCCATCCCTGTCCCAGACCAGGTATTGCCTGGTTTCCTGGGCAGGTTGCGGCTGACAATGGTTCATGTTTGGACTAGAGAAGTGTCATGTCCCCCAGGTAAAACATTTTTTCCGAAAAGACAAAAATAAATCAACACTACAAAAAAATGTAATTAGTTTTACCGGGGATCATCGGTGTCCATCCCATGTAAGTCTGGGTTTGCTCGCACGTGGGTGGCTGCGATCTCGGCATCGAGGGTCTTGGCCTGTATCAACTGGTTTACCACATCTTGGCTGCCAAACTTTGAGAGTAATTCAGCCTTGCACATCCATCGTCTGCTCCCAATCGTCCTGTTCCTCCTTTTTTGTTTTATTTGGAGGAAGAATTCTGATTGGGCCCATTGCCCATTGCAGCTCGTCCACTGCTCCAAAAGTATTTGAAGCATGGCACTATCCCGAAACGACGCCTTTTCGGGCCTTAGTTGGCAGTATGTGGGGTAATGAAACTGGGGTCACATGTTTGGATTGCAGATGTTTTCTTTAATGCATCATATGCATGTATTCATATGTCATGATATAGATATTTTTTAAAATCAACAACTATTTGGTTCAAAGTATGACACTGCTTTGTAGTTGGTGGATGTCTTGAAACCCTTTGGCCAACCTGCTTGGTTTAAAGAGTTACATTCCGCCACACTTCATGCGTGGCAGAGGTTGATGCTGTCACTACACCCCATGATCACCCCACCCATGGAATTAAACCAAGCTACTGCTAAGGGACCTCGAAAACCTCATGTATCTTGCATGGGCTTCACGTTTAGCCTTGGCAAGTCTTTCCAACCTCCTGTCCTCGCCCGAATCACCTGATGATTCATCATCACTTGGATCAGGGGGTGGTGGGGGTGCTGACGCAGCCTTGCTCACCTTGCTCACTGGTGCTGCTGACGGAGCCTTTGGCGTGGGTGCTGGTAAAGTCTTGGGTGCTGGCAAAGTCTTTGGTGCTGGCAAAGTCTTTGGTGCTGGCAAAGTCTTTGGTGCTGCTTTGCTCATCGGAAGATTGTTTGCCTGGCTTGGTGGCTTGCTGGGCGGGGGCACCACAGGAGATGCCAAATCCCTTGTTGACGGCCTCCTCAAGCATTCCTGGACTGCTTGAGACGCACGCTGTGCTGCTGGCTCATCATGTTCCGTCTTTACCTGGGTGTGCGGTGCTCCTGCTTTGACTGCAGTAGGCAACACTTGTTGGCTTTGGACATCTCGGGAAAGCTTGGGCTGGGAAGTGTCACTGGCATCAGTGTTGCTCCTTTTCATCTTTGGGGGTGGGGTCACTTGAACATCTTTGGCCCTTTGAATGGCCATTGCCTTTAGCTCCTCTGCTGTTGCTGGAATCGTAGAAGCGTCAGAATCTGGCCGGGGCCAAACGGCAAAATTGAAGAAGCTCAAGCATAGAAGCGGTTGGTATAATTATACTATAATTTAAAATGGTCAAAAATTATTTAGCAGTATCGATTTGAATGTTCATTGATTCAATACCTTGAACAAAAGGCATGTGAAAAATTCTGTTGGGTTGGTTTCACATGCCCCCTCATGTTGGGTCACTTTTGGTGTACACAATTTTGCATATGTCAAACAATTGCAAACACCACATTTCTTATGATGTGACATTTCAAAATATTTTTTAGTCATCATAAAAGTTTGAAATTACCAGCGCATACCACTGCATTTCCACAAGATGTATTTCTTGATTGGTATGGGGCTTTGTCCACCTAGGCCATGTGTCAACACCTGAACTCCATGTCCAAATCTAATTGCAACGCAGGAAGCTATGCGCAACCCTTTGGAAAGCTGGAAAGGTCTGGGGTATTTTGTGAAAGGTGACTTGGCAGAAACAATCGACCTGGGAAGGTGAGCCAGCCTGCTTCTGGTGGTGCCCTCTTTTTCTTCATGTCCTTCTTGATCTTGGTGTGGTCCGTCCTGGTCGCCGTTTTCCCTCAAAAGAACATACTATTGTGTAGTAATATTCCCAAAGAATATTATTAATATGCGTATAAAAATGATTATACCTTCAGTGGTGGAATCTGGATATTCAATTTAGTAGACAAATTCTGGGTTGGTATTTGGGACATGGGCCCTGGGAAGGCAGGCTGGGGAAATCATTTGAAATTTCCAAAGCTGAACATCATGAATACCAACATGTATCAAATGAGCCATCCAGTCCTCAAAGAATCTTCATTGTTTTTGGCTTCAAGACTGCTCTGGACAGCAGCAGCCCGCCCTTCCCTTTCCCTGGCCCTTTGCAGAATCAGATCCACGTCTGACATCCTGCTGGACAGTGTTGAACACTTGTGAAATGCCTGCGGGATCATTCGGATAGCTTTGGATCATTGCAAAAACTGAAACATACCAAAAATGAATGATTTTTGGGCTGTTTTTGGGCTTATGTCTTTCACGCCTAAACACCTCCTTTCACGCCTAAAAACCTACTTTCACGGTTTATTCACGCCTGTTCACGGTTATTTCACGCTTGCATCATTATCCAAAACTTCCCGTTTCAGTTCCCAATATTTTCACCGAGCTGGAAATTGGCCAGCATGATTCAACATGTGAAAGCACTCCGTGGCAAACCCTGGGGCATTGTTTCAGTGGGCCCAAGTTGATGACAAACAACTTAGTCTGTTCTAACTTTCATTTCTATTTGGGAAATCACCCCCAGAGTCACCCAGGCAGGCCCAGTGCATAGCATTGCACACAACCATGAATTGCTAAGCTGAATTGGCAAGACTTTGCAAAGACCATATTAGTCATCTAAGCCTTCAGACAGAATTGGGTGGTATCTCCCAGCATCTCGCTCACTTTGTAGAAAGGCACGCATCTCTGACAGCCCCGCGTGGCGCCATGCAAACGGGACCTCCCATTGTTCAAACGGATCCCAAAAAACATGATCCAACTAATGGATTAATGGATGAAAGAGGAAAACAACTCCCCATTACTGGGACCATTTTTAGACCCCATGAATCATCAGTAACAGTGTCTGAATCGAAATGGACATTTCATTTGTTAGTTGACAATGAAACCACCGAGATCCACCAAGTCCCGCCTTCGTAACCTTTTTGATCAGAGTGTCAACCAAGCCACCTGTAGATGGATAAATGGCCTCCCGGACGTTCTTCAGGTTATTGCTGTCTGCCTCAGAGCCAGCACAGTTCCAGGCGGCTAGGGGCTTGAAAGGGACCATCATAGTTTAAATTTCAGATTGGTCGGTCGTTGAATGACTAATTTAGATTAACCAATTCCAATGTTGCTGTCTGGGCACCATCCATTCGCGATGCATTGAACAAATAGCTTCTCCATATGGACGGGGATACACTTGTGATGCACGAAGTTGAAGTGGATCACCGACCCTTAGTTGAATGCAACTGTAAGGTGGGAAAACCATTATTTATGGTCTGCCAAAAAAAAACACCCCCAAGTCTGCAAACTGTCGGGTAAACATTGTATTTCGGCGACTTGTGGGGGGTCTTTTTTTGGGAGACTACTCCCAGTAAAAAAATGCCAAGTTAGGTAGATGGCAAAAACCTAAGTTTGGCACACTCGAGTCTTACCCTTCCCGTCAATGTAACGCCGGACTGTGGCTTTGCTCTTCTTGCATCGCTTTCTCACCTTCTTCGTGACTTTTCGGTAGAGACGATAGGCCCAAGTACTTAGTGCGATCAGCACATGAACAATAAATCCCAAAATGGTGAAGTTATGTACTGACAAGAAGCATCTGGAATGGGCTACATCCTCTAAGGTTCTGGGCCCCCAGCCAACTTCCAAAGCATACTGTAGGCTTTAAATTTTGATGGCCAAAGCTTCCCATATGACTTAGTTCAAAGGTGCCACCAATGGATAGTTTTTTGAACCAGTTGAAAATTGCACAACAGCGCATACATATACAACAGCTGCATTTGCGTCATGTTTGTGAAAATGGTCTCCAAACAACTGAGTAGCTAACAACCTTGTCACCAGCCATGGCCAGAAAAGGCTGATGGTTTTGCGTAACCACATAAAATATGGGAACCAGAGCATCAACGTGCTTGATGGTTGCTCCACCAAACTCAGACCACACCGGACAAAGGTCAAAAGGAGCAGCAAACAAAGTCTGCATGTGATCCTTGGCAGTGACAGTTTGTTGGTCCTTTCAAGCAAGGCGCGTATGAACCCAAATTACTGGATACTTTCACAAAACCCATAACCCTATATGGGCTATTGGGGGAAATTAAAACAATAAATAACAATAATCATTGCCATAGATGCCTCAGGAAAATCAAACATCATATTGGTGTTTCTGGAAATGGGGGATCAAAATTATGAGAACTGAACATTGAAATCATGACCTTTGTTAGGGGTCCCTGAACTTTAAATGGGAGATTACTCACAGAGTAAGACTGGTCTTTTGCCGTATCATTGGATTGCAGGTGCTACCAACTTTTGGGGGTAATACAAAACCACCAAAAAGAAATGAACTAGGTACCAAGGGTCCTGTTGGCTTTTCTCACATATTCCAGAGGGGCACCAAAAGGTCTAGCCCGCGATCTTTTGCTTGTACCCAAATTTACAAATACGAACGAGCCACAGGGTGGTCCGGCGGTTGCCAGACCACCCTCTTGAAGTTTGAGAATAAGCTGGATGCTTTTCAGGAATCCTTGCCTAAGATGTTCCGTGCCCATGATTATAGCAATCGCTTCTCTTAGTTTTCTGCACGACCGCAAGTGAATTTCCAAGACACCGACGGTGTTAAAATGTCACCAGACTCTCCAGCAACAATGTCAAAAGGTTTCCTGAGGTGGCTGTTGGGGGAATCCAAATTTCTGTTTTGAATTTGTTTTGAATGACTTTGTCATCAGATGTCACAAGATACTTTGAGGGTCCCACGATTTCAGCTTCTCATCAACTTAGTTGGTATCAGAATTCAAACATGAAAAGGACTGAATTTTGAAAGAACTCTTCTCATGATTATCGGTGCTAGTGAAATCAGTCTCCCACGAAACGCCGAATTGATAGCTCCTTTTCCACTGAACAGGTCGACGTTGACCACATCCTTGATTGTGGGAGGTAGTTGGTACTAATCCAGATAAGCCTTAAACACTGGAGCGTTGCATATGAGAACGAAAGATAGAAGCTGAGTTGAGAACACGTCGGCTTTGTGCAGGAGGGGTGTGCTCTACCACATAGTCGATGCAATGGAGACTTAGGTATACAGGGGAGTCTGACAGAAACCATTGACTGATGAATTGCCAAATGCTTCACCCAAAACACCCTCCAGATATTGTAATGTCTGACACCTGTTCATCATACAAGTTAATCTTATATATTCTAACATTAAAAATATCATCTAAAATAGTGTTTGTTTGGTGAAACATTTAACTCCCTTTTACAATCTGATGTTAGTGTTCAATGCAGCCGGGCAGCAAGACAAGTGGCGCGCCCAGGAGGATGAGAAAGTTGGCAGCTCTGTTCGTTAAGGCCAGGGGACTTTCACACCGGGGCTGATTGGTGGGCATGGCCACAACAACTGGAATCCCTAGGCCCTATGCCCTTTACCACCTATTATACGAGAAAAATGCTGCAAACAAATCACAAGTATATTGCTTGCAAATTTTGACAAACTCGCAATTGGCATTGATATTGATCAACATCGCATAAGTCCACAAAAGCAAGCTAGTACACAATCCTTTTTTCAGCCCTGTCCCCCCAGGGATCCCATCAAATGGAGATCAAATTGTATCTAGATACACGTAAAATGTCATCCAGCGGAGCTCGCTAGGGGCCTGTCAAAACAATGGAAATATTGACTTTGCATGGTTACAAACTTGAATATTCCCAATTTTGAAACATGCCCATGGCACCTCTTTGCAGAATAGAAACCACAAGCATTTAAAAATTGTGGGGCCACACAAGGGTATAAATATTTCAACCATAGATCTGACCCCCCTATGCCAGCCACCCGCATCAAGATTGGAATTGGTAGCCTTTTCAGCTATCAGTGTTTGAAACTTCTTCGTCAGAATCCAAAGAATCACCGGGCTTGATTTCAATCCAACCGGCCAAAGACGTAGCGAGGGTCCACCTCGGCAAAAAAAATAAAAAAAAATCTATTGGGATCGAATTTCCCCCAAACTCAATGAGCTCCATTCAACTCGAAAAATAAATATATATCTTCAAGTCTTCAAGTGAATTTTCAAAACAATGAAAGTTCAATAAGCACATGACCCGAAGAAGCAGCCATGCTTTGCCCATGACACACTGACACCTCGCCGCACATTCGCCTTATTTGTGGCCAAGGGAGGTCATGTATCAATCATTTCTTAAATCTATAAGATCTAGAAGTCCATACTGATCACAGACTGCTGAAATGAATGAAAAAAATACTATGGGTTGCATTGACCTGCCATCAAACATTGATCAACAAGATCAACCTTGGAATACTTCGGATGAAAAAGAAATAGTTGAGAAACAATTCAGGGATTTAGTGATCCAGGGTTGACATACTAACTTTGGAGCCAGTCACATTCAAGGGATGCTCCAGAGACATCACATCGTTCACATTCTCGATGCGCTCTTTGGGAACTTTTGACGCAAAGAAACTTTGGGTGTCCAGCCTAAGTCATGATGATGAATTGCACAACAAGTAGGTTCGGGATTTACAAAAGATTGTGTGTCAAAACTGTCCGATGGGGGCCAAATAACAGAACTCCAATCGATCCTGGCTCTTCCACCGGTGCAGGTCCCCAGCCGCTTGGCCGGGTCAAAGTGAAGGACCTCGGGCGGCCACGGTGTGGGCTGCACGGAACTTCCATTTATATAATGTTGATGGCAATATCCAATAATGATCTCTATGGTGTCCAACTTTATCCATATTCCAAATAGATCATATAATTACGTACACTATTAAATCGTTCTAGGGCTATAGGAAGTGAGTGCACTGTGATTTCATCACAGCTTGGGGCTGGGCTTTCGTGGGTATTTCCATTCCCGGGTGTCCTGCAAGTGGTTCATGGCTTCAAGGACTTCAGGTGGAAAGGTGAAGGTCTGATCATGCTCTCTCAATTCGCGCAATCGGCGCAAAGAATTTTCCTTAGCTAGCAGGCACCCAAAGTAAGATATTTGGTGGGGAGATAGTTGATCAAAGAGTTCACAATCACATGTGTGTGTGTGCGCGTGCGCGTGCTAATTTGTGTATAGATGTATTTCGTTGCACATGCAAATGCATTCAATATCATGAGCATGCATGTGAATGCATGTCAAGTGCTGGTCCTTTGGGTGTGGAGCTTTCAGGTAAGTATGCGGTGTATCCAAAAGCTTGAGACATGTCGCTAAACATAACTCAAAATTCAACTCCATTGTTCCATGTTTTTACTATTTTTGAATCACACATTGGATGTGTGAAGGTTGGCTGAAAAGTTTAGCAAAGTGTCGACACTTGAGAGTTCCAGTGCCTTTGCATTCTTTCTTTTTTGGCCTTCGCCTTTCTCCTGCTTCTTCTGTGACAACCTTTCAAACTCGTCTGCCAAGTTCTTCCTCACAGGATCTTTCGTTGCACCTGACGACTGCTTTGCAACCACTCTCTTGGCTGCACTTGCTGCCAACTTCATGGGGCTCTGCTGTGTCGGTGTCTTTTTCTTTTCTACCTCCTTTGTCTCATCATTTGTGGCATTCTCCTGCTGATCATGGGCCTCGTCCTTCTCAGCATCTTTGGGTTTTACCTTCTTGTCACCTCTGCACCTTGCCTTCTCCTTCACTTTGGCGTTTGCCTTCTGATTGGCTTCGGGCGCTGCATCGACTTTTGGCTTCTCCTTCTCTTCAGCTTCTGGCTGATCCTTCTCCTTGGGTTTGGCTCGCCCCTTCTGCTTAGCTGTGGTCTCCTTCTTCTCATCGGCTTTGGTATTTTCCTTCTTCTCAGCTTTGGCCTTTGCATTTTCAGTGGCTCTTGTCTTCTTCTTCTCCTCCTCAGCTTCTGCCTGCTCCTTCTCCTTGGCTTTGGCTTGCCCCTTCTGCTTAGCTGTGGTCTTCTCCTTCACATCGTCTTTGGTATTTTCCTTCTTCTCAGTTTTGGTCTTTGCATCCTCAGTGGCTCTTGTCTTCTTCTTCTCCTCCTCAGCTTCTGCCTGCTCCTTCTCCTTGGATTTGCTCTTCACGGCAGCTTTGGTCTTTGCTTGCTTCTTTTCTTTGGCAACTGTCTTCTCATCTTTGGGTTCCTTTCCTGCCTTCTCATCTCCATTCTCTTTTTCATCCTTGCCTCCATCGTGTTCAAACAAGGACGAGGGTGCTTGAGTGATTGTAGGGTCCCCAAGCTGATTGTCAGGCTTTTCAGGTGACATGTCTTCATCACTCGAGTTGACGAGTTCCCCAAAGGTTTTGGGAATTGGACCTTCCTTCAAACCAGAAAGATCATCGGCTTCCTCCTCATCTGCAGCCTCCTTCGTCACAGCTGTCTCCATGTGATCCGTCGTGTCATCCTTTGTCTTCCTCCTTTTCCCAACCTCAGTCTTCTCATGCTCAGGATCTTTGGATTTGTCCAGTTTCCCTTTTCTTTTCGTCTGGCCTGGCTTCTCCGCATTCTCATGGCTTTCTTTGCCCTTTCTGGTTCTCTTTGCGGGTGGGTCTGGTCGATCGGCATCGGAATCCTCTTGCTTCTTTGCTTTACGGCCTCTACCTCGTCCTCTTCCTCGCCCTTTGCCTTTCGGTTTCTTGCGGTCTTCAGACTCTTCCTCGGCTTCACAAAGTCTTCTATCGTCATCTTCTTCATTGTCGTCGTCCTCAGCTGCATCCTTCAGGGCCTGTCTCATCTTTCTCTGGGCAGCCACAATGTCATCATTGTTGCTGTTCGAAGCTTGCCTGGAAATTTTGAGAAACTCGGATGCCTTTTCTTCTAAGGCTTGGCTTGCGTACTCCTCCACTGTGATTGGGCCTTTGGTGTCGTTGAAGCATGTCGTTTGGTCTGCTTTTCCTTCCTCACCATCATCGCTATCAAACCCGCTGACTCCAACATCAAACTTTGCTTCAGCGGCTATGCCCTCATCATCATCTGGGCCTGAGCCTTCTTCATGCATCTGCATCTGCTGGGACTCCTTTGCTGGGCCTTCTTCATTCATCTTCTGAGACTCCTCTGCTGGGCCTTCTTCTTCTTCTTCCATCTTTTGAGACTCCTCTGCAGCTGCGCCTTCTTCTTCTATCTTCTGAGACTCCTCTGCAACTGCGCCTTCTTCTTCCATCTTCTGAGACTCCTCTGTGGCTGGGCCTTCTTCTTCCATCTTTTGAGACTCCTCCGTGGCTGGGCCTTCTTCTTCCATCTTTTGGGACTCCTCCGTGGCTAGGCCTTCTTTCATCTTCTGGGACTCCTCTGGGGCTGTGGTTTGGCTTTCTTCTTCCAACCCCTGCTCTTCCCCCTCCTCTTCCCCCTGCTCTTCAATTTCGTCCTCCATTTCTTCTTCCTCTTCATCCTCTTCGCTTTCGGTGTCAGAGATCTCTTGCACTTCAAGTTCTTCCTCATCAATCTTCTCAGAAGTGTCCCCCAAAAAGTCGGAGTCAAGAGTGTAGGGAAGAGTTTCAGCTGCATCGATATTTGCAAGCCTCCTCAGCTCCTTATCATCCTTCTCACCTTCTCCATCTTTCACTTCATCTTTGCGCTTCTCCGATTTCTTGTATTTTTTTTCATCAGCCTGGATCCCCGGAAGTGGCACTGGAATGGGGCCTAGAAGATTTACAGGTTAAAAAAATGAAATTGATTGCGACAAAGTGCCGCCAAAAGATGTTTCCAATGTGCTTGCTTGCAACTGAAGAAGTATCTCAAATTTCCTAAACAGTTGTGGTCGGAATACATTGTATGAGTCATATAATATATGTCAATTTTTGTTAATAGGCTTCATGCATGTGCATACGCATGCATGCATGTGTGCAGATGCCTCCTTCTCCTGCTTTGCCTTTGGGCCTCTGGATGGTCTTTTCTTTCCAGCCGCTGTCAGTAAGTTGCACGCCTACCAAGCTTCAAAAACCAAAGGGGCAAAAATCGTGAAACACAAAAATAAGGATGCTAGCGAGAATCAAAATCATATTTTTTCAACATATCTGGTGTCAATGACCTAGCCTTAAGCTTGGCATGGATGATGCTTTTGATCTTGCTCATACCTTCGCGACCACCCCTTAGCTGCATACACAAATCATCTCAAAAGGGTCCATAATCACTCATCAACCACATGACTATGTTTGAAACATATTAATATTGATCAGGAACGAACTGATCAATATCATGGTTCATCATGGTTGAAGTTCCCAACACCTCCGCAAACACACCCTTAATTCTGTAAAGTCTCCGGGATCTGGAAGTGCGTTGGAACCGCGTCATGCAGTATGAGGTAAACGCACGTTGGACACCAGATTCAAGACTAGCCCATGCCTGGCCAGATTGGTAAAGAACGGGCCCTAAAACTCACCAAACACATTCAAAGGTACTGTGCAAATTGAAAAATAAGACATAACTGACCCAAGGGCACACCACCATCCCACGAACCCTTTTCTGACAAGATGCCCTGTGATCAGCTTCACACTTCAGATGGGGATTTAATCCATAGACCATGGATGTCCATGCAAGTGCGTCCTTGACAAACAGCGCATTGTTTCTTGCCGGAAAAGAATGTCTGTAAATATATTCCATGTGCATTTCCAGATGAGATTCTGTCAGAAGCTATGACAAAATAATTCGCCACAGTGGGGATCACTGGAAGTAAAGAATCATTTGGTTTGTACAGAAGGGGGTCATACTTTTGTAAAGAGTAATTTGGGTTTCATGATCTGATGTACAATAACTAAAATAATTATTTATTGTAATTTAGAGTATGTATTTCATTAACAATTTTAATGAATGATGTCAGTGTCACTGATATGTCCCTATTATTATTTCCCTGATATTTCACCATTTTATAATCCCCAATAGTTTTCTATTATCCTTGTTTCCTTTTAGATTGCATTTCCCTATTATTATGTTCCCATTACTTCCCATCCCTTCTTGTATCCTTCATGTTCCAAGTGTTGGGTCCTCCAGCTCTTTGTCGTTGGGAAGTCTTTCGCAGAATTGACCCAAGAACTCTTGCAGGAACTGCTGATTGGTTTGGGAGCGCTCTACCTCAAAGAGGAGGATCCGGGTGGGTTTTTCCCAATGCAGTCTGGTGATTTCATGTCTCACTGACCATTGTCGTGAAAGTTGCACCTACAATTCTACAAATCGTTGAGTCTAATTGAGACAAAAGACTTCAACTTCACGGATCACATCCCCTTTGACAAGCCGATCCACAAAGGTGAAAGGTGGAACCTCAGAAATAGTCATTGAAATGGGACACAGCTCAATGCAAAAGCGTGCATCCAAGTTCTTGGTCATCATATGTAGGTATATGTTTTTTGGCCACCAGGAAACCATACCATCCTTGTCACGGAGACCAGCCTTCTTCCTTAAGGCATTCCTCCTTTCAACTATGTAGTCCGGCTGGTCCAAGATATCTTTGAAGAATTCCTTGGGCTGCTGGTGTGTCCATGTGCATTCCCTTCCTGATCCTGGATGTTACCTTTTTTTACACATTGACAGGGGATGGATCCTTTTTAATGAATTTCACCTCCCGTAAGTTTGGATGGAATGCAGCTAGAAATCCTGCAGGAGTATGACCCTTTCCTCACCATGGGCCATGGCCATTGCTCGGAAAAAAGCAGTCCACGGATGGGACCTGATGGCCGTTTTTGAACCTCAACCCCTACCAAGTCGAAGGTCTCAAATTGGAACCCCAAAAAAATCTACTGGGTTTTAGAAACCATGGTATGATAGATCGATCCATAGTCCCCCTAAATCATATGATGATAATGTGGTAAACCCAATAAAGAAAAAACTATATCGTTAAGGTTAACCCACTGATAAACCAAAATTGGGGATGCATAGTTCATTATTGGGTTTACCACATTAGAGTATTCCACTTCCCTCATCAACCAGCAGGGCAATGGGGCGGATGGCACCTGGATGAAGTAGCTGAGGGTCCTCCAAATTGGCATCGCATGCATGTCCTGGGCTGCGGTGACTATTTGTAATGATATATGACACGTGTAGAATCTGGGTGATGAGTATGACTTGGTTTGGAAGTCAGGCCCCATGGGTTCCCACATTTAGTGGTAGGAAGGACGTTTCTTGGGAAACAAAATGCTGATCAAGGCTCTCCTTTTCAATGCTCGCTTGATTCTCATATCGGAGGATCACCTAGGGGGTAGCTGCCACCAACAGCTAAGATCCGCTAATAAACCACTTATACGAGGAATGTGCAAGTGCAATGTCAACTAAGATGCCAATGCATAAGCTGTAAAACTGATGGTATTGCAGCCACAGGCACCCCCCCTCATCCAATCCACCAAATCCATATCCAATCTCGACCAAATCCATCAAAGCGCCAACGCTGATGGCAGTGGTGCCATCAAGTAAGGCCATGGGGTACCCCAGGTATGATTAAAAAATGATTGAATTAAACATCATTGTCCTTGTTCTTGATTGTGATTGCTCTCTATCCTAAGGGTTTATATCTTGACGAATCCACTCGAACATGTACCAACCAGTAGTAATTAATAGGGACACTCACTGGGAACAACTTTGAGCCAGGAAATCACTCAGTGGACATGTATGATAAATTATGCCAATGTACTTTCCTTACTAAAAACCTACTTCCCCGAAAGACTATTAAAACAATAGTCTTTGACTCTCAGGGTATATATATATATATATGATTACATAGATAAGTAATATCCCCAGTGGTGTATGGCTTACTTATATAAACTACGATTTCTTGATATTCACTCCAAAGCCCTGAGTCCAGCCATCACCTTTGGGGGCCGAGTGCACCAAGCCACTGGTCATCGGGGAATCGAAACTTGCCCGTCTTCGAAAAGGGATTCCTGCCGCCTGTCGGTTCCGCCGCCCAGCATGCTGGAAAATGGCCCAAATCGAGGATTCAAGTAGCTAAGTAGTAAATTTACATATAATATCATATAATGTTGTAGAGACATTTTACTTAGAGCCTCTCAGCACGCAGATTTCGGCCAGCGATCCAGGCTTCTAAGTGAAACCTAAAAGTCAAAAGAACAAAACTATCCGGTTTTGACATGACAGATTTTAGTTGGCGTTGTCTTTTTGAGTGCTGGCGTTGTTTGCGATTCAGAGGACTCGGATTCTGGCAAGCAGTTTTTTCTAAGTGCTTCAGATTTCTAAGTCCACACGGAAAAAAGACAGTGATTTTAAAGGGTCCAGGTATAAAATATTCTGCAGTGTTATATAATACACATGTATGGAACTGGCAAACCAGTTCAATTTTGGGATGCATGATTGTTCCAAACGAATAGATAGACATTAGATGCTACGCTTTGCATTCTGGGACAGTCGGGAAGCAAGAAAGACACTAACTAATACCGTAGTTGAAATAAAATAGCCAGCCAGAAAAATATTTGTCACCTTGTCACCTGCAAATTCAATTCGTTTTCAAGTGGCCAGCACTCCCGATACCCGGTCCTGACCGGAAGACGATCCCGCTACGATCTCTTCTAAATGTCGTCCAATTAGTTTCGTTTTCTGGTGCTTTCTATGTTTTCGACCCCTCATTCGAACTCTTGAAACCATCAGCCAAATGATCTGCTACAGTAATTCTTAATTACTACTAATTATTCCCTAATTCAACAAATTTCAACAATCTAGGCAGCCGGGAAATGCTGTGAAATGCCAATCTTTTGCAACCACAGGCGAGTGTAGGGCGTGAAGAAAATGGAGGGACTTTAAATGGTGAATGAAAAAGCAGTACCAAGGGTGCCCTTTTTCCATGCCATACGTTCGTCAGCTGCAGCCCTCTGGATCCCTCTGGATCCCTCTGGATCCCTCAGTCACCTTGCATCGTGGAGTGCGTGGCTTCAGTGTCTCCAGAATAAAGTTCACTGAAAGACATCGCATGACGACACAAGAACCTGCAGTGAACATCGCGCAACAACAAGCCCCAGTTTGACCCGGCCCCCAAGCAGTCCGAACTACCAGGCTGTTTTGCTAGTTTCCCAGAGGAACAATCTGTGAAATTTTCCCGAAACCAGAAGTTGTTGGGTAGGGAATTAGGGAATCTTCACTACAGTACAAAGGCGAAGCTTTGTCTCTGGTTGATCTGGTCGAGGTTCCAGGAAAGACAAAAGGCCCCTGGATCGTCCAGTTTGACAAGAGCTGTGCTGGAATTTCCCTGCAAATATGCATACTCTTCGACAAAGTATATTTAAACATCATGTATACAATATATATACATATATATATATACAACCAATCTGACAAAGGTCTGTTGAAACAGGGGCCTAGAGTGTGGTAACAAATAGATCTGTCGCGCCAAAATCGAAAAAGTGTCTTTCGAGGAGACTAGGTTGTTTGCCTCTTCCTGGACCCCAAAACTGAGATGATGCGACCATTTATCTCTCGTTGGGGTTCCAAGCTCATTTGGGTGTGTCGGAAATGTGGTATGCCCCAAATGGTGGGAAATCATTAGTATGTAGTGGGAACCTAAATTGAGTCGACAGAAATATTATAGAACCCCACAATAATGCAACAAAAACCCAACAATAACCATCAAAAGCCCAACAAAGAACCCATTGAATTCCACACCAACATAACATACATAACCAGAAAGGTTTTGGAGACTTCATCAGCTGACAACCTCTCAAATGGAACAGAAAAAAGAGTTTGAACTGTGGGATGTTCTTACTTTTAGAGAGAAATAATGGCAGCCAGTGCCACTGCCTTGTTTCAGGGCAATGGGATCTCCCAGGTGGATTCTGTTGGATCATCATCAAAGAATGTGCCTATGACTTGCAAAGGTTGGTCATATTCGGAGTGCCCAATTTAGACCAATACTAAAAAATCACGTTTGATCGCAATATCATATCAATTATGTTGGTTCTATCCCTCAAACTCTCAATTTTGTTTAGTTTATATCATATTTCCATTTTCCTGGTTAAACCATCTTACACCAACCATCCACCAGCAAATCGTGTGTGTGTGTATATATAATACCTGCAAAGCTGATTCTTTGACCAGGTGTTAAAATTAAGGATGATTCGTCCGTCTAACTACACTTGCCCACAAATGGCCCACCTGTATACCCTAAGCAACCAGAAACGAATTGCGCTTTGAACACATTCAACCAGTTGTTTTGCAGGGCTCAGTCATTCCTGGTTGCTTGATGTTCCAAATGTGATGTTGTCAAAAAATTGGTCATACCCAAATTCGTGGCCACTTGAATGTGGAAAATGATTATTGATCATGGGAGCCAAATGTGATGTTATTTTTAGACCCACTGGGGAAGCCATCAATCATCGGGATTGGGAATGGGGGATTTGAGCATCAGCTCCAACATGCCAATTGTTAGGATCCCAGGGCCCGAAAAAATTGAGGGACCAGAGAACTAGGGCCTAGGGCCTGAAAAAATAGAAGTGTCATGATTTCTCAGTGTAGTAATTTAATGTAATTTATACGTTTACCCCAAACTTGGATGGTTCAAAGCTACAGATGGCCCGGGATATAACCCTTCTCGAATAATCAGTCGTTGCGGCAACCCCCTTTTACAAGATCCACAAGTTAGAAACCTGGAAATTAGGAAGGAAACATGACCAAAGTACCATCCTGGAAACACATTTCTATCTTTCTGAAACGGGGTGAACATATATTGGATATTGGATATTGGATACCCTCTGATAAACGAACTCACAGGGCGCGAACTGGGAAAATCCCATTGTCATGGATCATCAAAAAATAAAACGGACAATGAACGAACTACATGACCGGTTCCAATAGCAAACTGTCAAATTACCAGAGGGTAAGTTTTGGCTGTAACTGCACCATTAAGTGCTGCCAGGCATTTCGCATTGCGCCGAGGGGCTGCCTTGCCTCGACGATTGACAAATTACTCGGCCGGGCGGAAAATTCACCTGGCAGCTGATGGAGAGCGGGATTCCCACGAAAAAAACATGCCATAGCATCCAGCAACAAAAATTAACACTGAAGCATCAAACATGTGGATTTTAGGCTGATTTCAACTACAATATGTGTGATTTCACTATATTTCACCGGCACACTTACGGATTTCACCAAAACAAACATGGAATTCAAACAATACTTGGATTTTCACTCAAATACCCTGCAAAAGGTTTTTCTTCAAAACTTGGTTTGAGATCGATCGCCAAAGGGCGGATGTTTGGTGATCTACTGGCAACTACAACTTGGATGTGCATTCCGGCTACAAATCGTGCAAACTCCGTATGTATAGATATGTATATATATATATAGATATATAGAGGTTCTTGACCACTTGGGATTCCTAGGCCCGCATATCCAAGTTTTCGATTTACTGTAACGTGGCTTGCTGGATAATCCTGGTACAAAAATATCAAATTTAATTACAAATGTTTTCACCATGAAGAATAGATCGAGCCAGTCATGAATGTTCGATGACCGGCATCCCAGCTAGCAAGTGAACAACCCTGGGTCAAAAGTCCCTGATTCCTAGGGGTGTCCCATTGACAACTGGAGAAACTAAGCCCACAAGCCAAATACTAAGTCATAGAGTTGGCTAAATCCTACTTAAAGTACGATTTCTTGAAGTTTTAGCTGCTTAATTCCTTCTTCATGGCAAAATCCCTAGGTTTGGGGCTACCAGCGAAGCGATCCAGGCCCTTGGAGGCCTCTCCGCACGGCGGCAACATCCACAGCTTGGTTTCCTACTGTGCGGAACCTACTGGCTGGCCATGACTCCAAAATTGGGTGCCAATGGACCAGAATTGTGATGAATAACTGGAAGTGTGTGGTAAACGCAATGCCATAAACCTAGTGTTTGGGGATGGTAAACATACCACCCATAAAGATGGTGATGACTTGGGGATGGTTGATTATTGGGTTTACCACATACAATATTTACACATTTACCATGATTCATCCTGAAAAGTTTGACCATTGAGGGATAGTTACACCACATGTTACACCATTCCTAACCATTATCTACAGTGATGTGGCAGGAGCGATAATACCTGAGAGTATTGAATAGTCCACCATCAACCTGGGAATTTTCTGTGCAATACACACAATACACCATAACTATCCATTTTATCTGAAGATAGGAAATGACCTCCGGTATCATCTACTTCAATGAGAAAAGTAATATCACGTTTTGAAGGTATACCAAATTTTGAACCACAGTAGTAACGCACTGAATTCATACTTGCTGAGTACTGGGATTGTTAAAAAGATTTAGGTTTCATAAGTGACATTGCATCTCAGAAAATTTTCTCCTATGCCTGGTTGATCTTACATACCCTGCAAAAATGTATTTTGGTAGGATTGGATATATATATATACATACATATATGATCATACATGGATATATTATATGGGTGTGTCTAAAAATTGGGTATGCCCCAATAAGGCTATTTAAACAGGAAAAAATATGATAATCCATTGGAAGCGGAGGTACCGTATTTTCAGACAAACCTCCATATAGTTATTGTTTATTGTTAAAGGCTGACAAACCAACATGCCAAAAAACAAAAATACCCAGATCCGCGACCATGACCAGAGTTTGAGCCCTCTGGTTCTGGCACAGTCAAGCGTTGCAGCTATCAGCTGACGTTCAATGTTGGCAGGTGATTGTTTCCATGGGTTTGTTATTTAAATCTCCCTTTTCTGTTCATTCAATCAACATGTTGTTCGGTTAAATCTACACCTTTGGGTTCCGCCGGTTCGCATTGAATTGAATTGGGAGAGTTTCCGGGGCTCAGCTATTTGAATTGGCAAATGTACTATGTATACAGCAGTCTATGCAGCTCATGAAACAGAAAGCGATCTGTAGATGGTGTACATAGCACAATCCCCAGAAGAAGACAAACCTTAGTACTGTAAAGTTTTTTGGCGCACTCACGAAAATCTTCACCAATTCTCGCCCAGGCCATAAACCAAAAAACATTGATGCTGAGATGCGTGAATTTCTCTCCAATTTTCAGATCTTCGACGTTGCCGACGTACTGAAAGGTGTAGATAACCTTAAATGAAAAAGAAGTTGGGTCCTCCCATTAACAACTGGGTTACAATCATGAACCTGTCCAAACAGTGCCCATCCAAGTTGAAACAAGTGTTGAGTGCTGAACACCTAGTGATACATACATACATACATACAAACATACATGCATGCATGCATACATACATACATACATTACATACATTACATACATTACATACATTACATACATTACATTACATACATTACATACATTACATACATTACATACATTACATACATTACATACATTACATACATTACATACATTACATATATTACATACATTACATACATTACATACATTACATTACATTACATTACATTACATACCATTACATTACCATACATACATACATACATACATACATATATATAGAGAGACAGAGAGGGGGGAAGACTATCGACATATACATATATATATATATCAGTATGTTTTCATACAGTAAATGTGCGTATATACGTGTACATACGTAGATGTATAAATGTATACGGTACATGTACATATGTATATGTGTATAAATGTTTATATGTATGTATGCATATATGTAGGTATATATGTATGTGTATATATGTAGGTATGTACATATATATATATATACAAACATATGTGTGTGTGTAAAAAAAAAACGTAACGCACTGTAATGCAGTGTAATGCAATGTAATGGAATGTCATGCAATGCAATGTAAGATTATGTAGGTTTGTGTGTATGCATGCATGGATGATGCATGTATGTATGTATGCATGTATGTCTGTATGTATGCATGTATGTATGTATGTATGGATTTTTTGTATGTATGAATGTATGTATGTATGTATGTATGTATGTATGTAATTGTATGTATGTATTGTATTGTATTGTATTGTACTGTATTGTATTGTATTGTATGTAATGTATGTATGTATGTATGTATGCATGTATGTATGTATGTTATGTTATGTATGTTATGTATGTATGTATGTAATGTAGTGTAATGTAATGTAATGTAATGGTATGTAATGCAATGGTATGTAATGTGATGGTATGTAATGTAATGGTATGTATGTATGTATGTATGTATGTAATGTATGTTATGTATGTATGTATGTAATGTATGTAATGTATGTAATGTATGTAATGTATGTAATGCATGTAATGTATGTATGTAATGTATGTATGTATGTAATGTATGTATGTATGTATGTATGTGTGTGTATGTATGTATGTATGTATGCATGCATGTATGTATGCATGCATGCATGCATGCATGTCTGTGTGTATGTGTGTATGTGTGTATGTATGTATGTATGTATGTATGTATGCATGCATGCATGCATGCATGCATGTATGCATATATGTATGTATGTATGTATGTATGTATGTATGTATGTATGTAATGTATGTAATGTATGTAATGTATGTAATGTATGTAATGTATGTAATGTATGTAATGCATGTAATGTATGTATGTAATGTATGTATGTATGTATGTATGTGTGTGTATGTATGTATGTATGTATGTATATGTATGTATGTATGTATGTATGTATGTGTATGTATATGTATATGTATATGTGTATGTATGTATGTATATATATATGTATATGTATATGTATATGTGCATGCATGCATGCATGTACATTTGCTCGAATGTATGCATGTATGTATGCGTGTATATGTGGGTGTATGTAATGTAATGTTATGTTATGTCATGGTATGGTATGGTATATTATGTATGTATGTCTGATCGTGTGTTGCACCACCAAATGGCTATTATTAGTGAGAACATGATCAACCAATGGATTTGTGGATACTCTATTTGCAGACATATGTATATAGGTAGATAGATAGATAAATATTAATTATTTACAAAGCCCCGTCGTCCATGTCCTAAGTGTTAAAACATGCTACACACTTTAGATGGATATCTTGGAGAAGCCTTGCAGGTTCCCATGCAGCAACCACTCACCTACTGTAACTGCTAGGGCCATTGGAACACCCAACCGGTATAGATTTGAATGCTTAAAACCTGAAAAATGCATCATCCAGGTTACCGGTTTGTTCACGGGGACTTCGATCGACTATATTTCCCATGAACTGTCCTATCAACGGCATAATTTGGTAGCAAAAGTCCGCATCAACGATTTTCATTTCTACTGCATTCATTTCTGCCATCCCTCTTCAGCTTTCCTGGTTCAATACTTTATTCTGATCAAATAATGCCCACTTTTCATATCCCAAACAAAAACACCTGCCATGAAGTTCAGCCCCTGCCGGTCCTGCAGACAAAACACGCTTGTGGCCACATCGCGCAGCTGGCCCTGGGGTGGGTTGTACGAGCGAGACACACCGAGCAGAATACCTTCCTGGCGTCGGGTTATGGTTGCGAGTCTGGGTGCCATTAGCCAACCCCCTAAAAATGTAAGACATGGCACCAAACATTGTGGGATGTGTGTGTGTGTTTGTATGTGCGTATGTGCGTATGTGTGTATGTCGGTATGTATGTATGTATGTATGTATGTGTGTATGTGTATGTATATATGTATGTATGTATGTGTATGTATATATGTATATGTATATGTATATGTATATGTATATGTATATGTATATGTATATGTGTATGTATGTATGTATGTATGTATGTATGTATGTATGTAATGTATGTATGTATGTATGTTATGTTATGTTATGTTATGTTATGTTATGTTATGTTATGTATGTATGTATGTATGTATGTATGTATGTAATTTATGTTATGTATGTTATGTATGTAATGTATGTTATGTATGTTATGTATGTTATGTATGCTACGTATGTTATGTATGTTATGCATGTTATGTATGTTATGCATGTTATGTATGCTACGTATGTTATGTATGTAATGTATGCAATGTATGTAAATAATGTATGTAATATATATAATGTATGTATGTATGTATGTATGTAATGTATGTAATGTATGTAATGTATGTAATGTATGTAACGTATGTAATGTATGTAATGTATGTAATGTATGTAATGTATGGAATGTATGTAATGCATGTAATGTATGTAATGCATGTAATGCATGTAATGTATGTAATGTATGTAATGTATGTAATGTATGTAATGTATGTAATGTATGTAATGTATGTAATGTATGTAATGTATGTAATGTATGTAATGTATGTAATGTATGTAATGTATGTAATGTATGTAATGTATGTAATGTATGTAATGGATGTAATGCATGTAATGTAATGCATGTAATGCATGTAATGCATGTAATGCATGTAATGCATGTAATGCATGTAATGCATGTAATGCATGTAATGTAATGCATGTAATGTATGTAATGTATGTAATGTATGTAATGTATGTAATGTATG